GCTCTATTCTGATTGATTGATTGATTGATTGATTGATTGATTGATTGAATTCACAAGTCCTTGAGCACAACAGACCACAATTTCATTAATCAAGATAATTGTCACAGGAATCACACCTGATTTTAGGGTGTTGTTTTTGCCAGGTTAAATGGATCACTTTGCTAGTTAAGTACGTTATGCGATCTTTATAAGGAACAAAAGCAATTTCTCCTATTTACTTAGTTGAATGGAGACCAGCTGACAAGATTGATAAACTTGAGCCCCATGACTGGGGTGGGATAATGTTCCAATCATCTTATAACTGCATGTCGGTAGCTAAAACAGTCTGAATTTTTGATCACGTCACCTTGGGGGGTTGCTGCAAGAATCCTAAGTGCAAGGACTTACGGAAGTCACTTTTTTCAGTGCTGTTGTAAACCTTGAGTAGCCACTCATTTAATGGTTTTAGGCTGAGGAACTCTAAGCGGCTCTCTTAGAGTCCCAAAGGGGCTGCTGTGTCCAAAAGGCCAACTGGATTTTCTTGGTTTTTAATTTTTTCCTTGAAAATGTTTTGCTTCTCATCCAAGAAGCTTCAATCAATCAGAATAGAGCTGGAAGGGACCTTGGAGGTCTTCTAGTCCAGCCTCCTGCTCAAGCAGGAGACCCTAGACTAGTGGTCACCAACTGGTGGTCCGTGGACAACTGGTGGTCCACGAGAAAATTTTGGTGGTCCGCAGAAAAATTATTTGCATTTTTTATATTGCACTAAATCAGAAGTCTTCAAACTACGGCCCCTGGGACAGATACGTGCAATGAATGTTTGTGTTGCTGCAGAGAGTCTCCTTTTGGGGTCTTTTTGTGTGGGTCGGAGGGGGGCAGGAATTCCGACTTGGGGTCTGCTTCGGCCTCCTGGTGTGGGGCTTTGGGCAAAGTCTGGAGGGAAGCACCACTGGTGGCGAAGAGCCGGAGGGCCTTGTTCCAGTGGCACTGCCTCATGGCCTGGAACTGGCTGACCATCTCAACCTGCTGAGCCTGGTCACTCCCACAGGTCTTCCCTCTGCTTGGAAAGCCTATGCTTCTAGTCCTCAGTGAGGTGCTTCTGCTGAGCCTCCTTCTCGGCCAGATCCAATTTGAACCGAGCCAGCTGTTTTGCCAACTCTTTCTCATGGTGGCTGCTTAGCTCCAACAACTGCTTCCTGTTGGGGCCCTAAGGAGCCGGGGCAGGCGCCAGGAGTGGGGGGGAGGGGAGAGGCAAGTAGAGGTCATCGAGACGCCCCTCAACATGAGTGACATCAAGTTGACCACGCCCACCCAGTCACATGACCACCTAGCCATGCCCACCCAGCTGGTCATTAGGCAGATCGTATTAGTGGTCCGCGGGATTTAAAAGTATGAATTCAGTGGTCCTTGAGGTCCAAACATTGGTGACCCTCGACTAGACCATTTCAGACAAATGGCTGTCCAATCTCTTCTTTAAAACCTCCAGTGATGAAGCCCCCACAACCTCTGGAGGGAAGCCATCCCACCGGTTAAACTGGTGGCTTCTTCACCAGTTCTGGGATGAAAAGCAAAATGTTTTCAAAGGGGGGAAAAAATCCAGTTGCTTTTTGGAAAAGCACCTTGACCTGGATGATGGAGAATCCCTATAGATTTCTCTCCTAGAGGTATCACCCTGTCTGGTGGCGATCTGTCCCATTGGTGAGCAGTTAGGAAACTCTTCCAGATGCCTGTCTGAAGTCTGCTTTCTTCTTTTTTTGACATTATTTAAATCATTGGCCGAGATTAGACCGGTCCCCACTTCGACCCCCTCTTGCAAGGCCCTGAAGACCTGGTTTGGCCAATGGGCCTGGGGCACCCAGAGTGGGATGGAGCCCATCAAGTGGTTTGTGGATTGTTGTCAGGGGGCAGAGACTCAATACATAGTCTTTGTATATTGGGTTTTTATTTTTTGTAAGCTGCCTAGAGCAGTGTTTCTCAACCTTGGAAGCTTGAAGATGGGTGGACTTCAACTCCCAGAATCCCCCAGCCAGCGCTGCTGGCTGGGGGATTCTGGGAGTTGAAGTCCACCCATCTTCAAGCTTCTAGGGTTGAGAAACACTTGCTTAGAGTCATTAATGTGAGTGAGTGGCCATATAAATTCTCTCCCTTTTTATGACCTCTAATTTGGGGGGAGAGTCAGGGCGACTGGATGGAGGTGAGTGTTTACTGTCCGGATGCCCTATCCTGATGCCAGGCCATATAAATTCTCTAAATAAATAAAATTGCTTTTGGAATGGCTCTGAAGTTTCCAAGATGGCTTTTCCCAAATGGCAACTGGACTTCCTTGGTTCCTTTTCTTTGAAAACATTTTGCTTCTCATCCAAGAAGTTTCTTTAGACTGAACATTTTCAAAGAAAAAACAAACAAGGGAGTCCAATTGCCCTTTTGGAAAAAGCACCTTTGGGACCACCATGATCTGGATCAGGGCTCTCCAACCTTGGCAACTTTAAGACTTGTGGACTTCAACTCCCAGAGTTCCTCAGCCAGCAAAGCTGAACAGCTGAGTTGAAGTCCACAAGTCTTAAAATTGCCCAGGTTGGAGACCCCTGATCTGGATGATGGAGAATCTCCATGACTTTGAAGGACACTCCCTGCCTTCCTTATGAAGCCTTCGTCACTAACTTGTGCTAGTGGACGATCCCTTAAACAGGAGCCAGCTGTGGGTGGCAGCAGCCAAAAAAAGCCAATACAATCCCTGGTTATATAAACAGAGGCATAGAATCAAAATCACGTGGAGTATTAGTACCGCTTTATTTTTTTTTATTTTGATTTATATGCCGCCCTTCTCCGGAGACTCAGGGCAGCTTACAATGCGTTAAGCAATAGCCTTCATACTTTTGTATATTTATACAAAGTCAGCTTATTGCCCCCACAATCTGGGTCCTCATTTCACCTACCTTAGAAAGGATGGAAGGCTGAGTCAACCTTGAGCCTGGCGAGATTCGAACCTGCAGTAATTGCAGGCAGCTGGTCTTAATAACAGGGTGCTTTAGACCACTGTACTACCAAGGCTCTTATTAAGCCTTAGTAAGGCCACACCTGGAATACAGCATCCAATTTTGGTCCCCACGTTCCAAAAAAAAAACATGTTGAGACTTTGGAAAAAGTGCAGAGAAGAGCAACTAAGAGGATTGAAGGCCTGGAGATTGAAACATAGGAAGAACAGCTGCAGTTCTTGGGTTTGGCTAGAAAGAAAAGAAGGACTTGGGGGGGGACATGATGGCCATATTCCAGTATTTGAGGGGCTGCCACAAAGAGGAAGGGGTCACCTTATTTTCCAGAGCACCTGAGGGCAGGACAAGAAGCAATGGGTGGAAACTAATCAAAGAGAGAAGCAACGTGGAACTAAGGAGAAACTTCCTAACAGTGAGGACAATTGACTAGTGGAACAGCTTGCCACCAGAACTTGTGAATGCTCCATCACTGGAGGCTTTTAAGAAGAGGCTGGACAGCCACTTGTCTGAAATGGTATAGGGTCTCCTGCTTGAACAGGGGGCTGGACTAGAAGACCTCCAAGGTCCCTTCCAACTTTGTTACTCTGCTAAGTTGGGCGAACTTCAACTCCCAGAATTCCCCAGCCCTTCTGCCCATCTTAAACTGACCAAGATTGGGGAAGCCTCTAGACTAGAGCCTCCTGTGTTTGTGGAACAAAATTGTGGTTCAATTGGTGCTTTGTGTGAATGTGTGTTCTTCCTCTTGGCAACCTCAGGCCGGTTGTCCTGCCCAAAGCAAAATAACCTCCTTCTGACCTCCTTGGTGGAGCCTCTCCGGCCAGCCATCAACGGCCCTTGATAGCCCCTATTAGTGGCCTTTTTGTGTTCTTCTCTGGTGCTTAGCAGAAGAAAGGAAGGTAGTAGCTGAGCAGGGCAATCTACAAACAATGCAGCTCCAGGGAGGGGCAGGTGAGGTCCAATAGTCAACCCCAAGAGAAAGGATCCTTTTCTGTGCTTCTCTTCCTGGAGCGGAGACCCCTCCCCCAACTTACACAGAATGGAGGCTGGCTTGCTACCCAGAGGGGCTGAGTGAGTAGGGCTGCCTTCCTTGAAGCTCCATTCATCATGCTCCTGGATCTGGGGGGGGGAGGGAGGAATGGCTTTCGGATCAATCCTGGGTACAAATTCAGGCTACATTCAAGATCCAGGAGCCTCCAAATGTTGGCAGTGTTCTGGGCAAGTACTTGTCTGGAATGCTAGAAGGTTTCCTGCTTGAGCTGGGGGTTGGACTAGAAGACCTCCAAGGTCCCCTTCAATTCTGTTATTCTGTTATCACTTCAGGAGAGGACACCCCATGGAGTTTTCTCAGCCAAGGCCAACCCATGGATTGCACACTGCACAGCTGTGGCTTGTTAAAGACAGTTCGCAGGGCATGTCAAGAATAACAGAAGGGACCTTGGAGGTCTTCTAGTCCAACCCCTTGCTCAAACAGCAGACCCTCTACCATTCCAGAGAAATGGCTGTCCAACTTCTTTTTAGGACATCCACAATATCTGGAGGCAACTTCCGTTCTGAACTGATTAATTGTTCTCCCTTAATTCTAGGTTGCTTCTCTCCTTAATTAGTTTCCACCCGTTGCTTCTTGTCCTGCCTTCTGGTGCTTTGGAGAATAAACTCACCGCCCTGAGTCCTGTTGGAGAAGGGCGGTATACAAATTAATTAATTAAATAAATAAATAAATAAATAAATAAATTGACCCCCAACTCTTCTTTGTGGCAGCCCCTCAAATATCGGAAGATGCTATCATGTCTCCCCAAGTCCTTCTTTTCGTCAAACTAGACCTACCTAATTCCTGCAACCCAAACTACTTGTTGGTTTAAGGAGAAGGCCAACGGCTTCCCCGTTTCAAGGATGGAGAGAGCCGGTGGCTGAAAGGAAGCATTTCTCCAGGCAGCCCTCATTCTGCCCCCCCCACCTCCCCCACTTGGCTTTTAAATGGGAACTGATAAAACTCCTGTCTGGAGCGGGAGGGGAGCTCTTGAAGACACAATGTTATCTCAAGAGAAGGAAACCCCCCAGGAGCCCCCAGATCTTAGCCAGGTGTGGGAAGCAAAATGTGGGGGCAGGTTGGGGCCGATGCCCCAGGGCTCTTGTGAGGCTGTAGTACAAAAGAATTCTTTATTGGCCAAGGGTGATTGGACACACAATGAATTTGTCACAAGGCATTTGCAAGAGTTTGTAAGACACCCAAGGAAGTTGTAAGAAATCTAAAAGGGCCTAACTAACACACTCACCTACACGCAAACGCACACAGCAGTGCCTGGGGTTGACAGGGTGGTGGCCAGAGGTCCGCACAGACAGGCAATACCTGGCCCCACGCAGCTCAGCATCATGGGCTCTGCTGCAGATCTCTCTCTGGGTGACCGTCCATAGAGATTCTCCACCCTCTGCCTCCATCCAGGTGCTTTCTCCACCAAAAGGCAACTGGAATTTGAGGTTTTTTTTCCTTTGAAAATGTTCTGTTTCTGATCCAAGAAGCTTCAGAACTTCTCCAGAACGGAAGAGGCTTCTTGGATGAGAAGCAGAACATTTTCAAAGAAAAACCAAGAAAGGCCAGTAGTTGAGTTGGCGTCGTGCCAAACTATGGTTTGTTTTATCATGGTCAAGCAATCCAAAGCCAGGTGGCCTTAATACTCAAATGACCCTCTTGACTGTGGCTGGGCTCACACAATTCCTTAAAGGCAGATCAACCATGACATGCAAAGGCCAGATCCTAAAAAAAAAAGAATATTTGTAGGTCAGGGTTGGAAATGAGGGGCCCTTGGTGCTCTCTGAGCTTGGTGGTTTTCTTGGAGATGTTTTATTGCTAGCAATGACCATGTTAACCTAGTTTGGGTCATGGAACAAACGTCTGCAAGAAAACCACCAGGACCAAGGACCCCCCAAAGGCCAGAGCATTCGAATGCAGCCCCTTTCTCTGAACGTGGGAAGCCCAGAGCCGGGCTCTCCAAGGGGTTGAATGCAAGCAACCCAAAGCCAAGTCAGTCACCCCAGTTCTGCATTTGGGGGAGCCCCTCCTTCTCGCAGCCACTTCAGAGGGCCGAGCAGCCTGGTAAATCCAAGGCCAGGAGGACCCTCTGCAAGGGGCCAGGTTGGGGCGGGGGCGGGGGGGGGGGGGGCGCTTCCTGGCGGTGACCTGCCGCCCACTAATCCACAGCCCGGGGCGGTGGTCGCTGGGTTTTGGGGTTTGTCATTGGCTCGGCGGGGGGCCCTCCCGCCCCTCGGCGCCTGGAGCCGCCCGGTCTGCCCCCGCCCCCGGCCCCTTTAAAGCCCCGCCCGGGGGCCCCGGGCCGCTCTCCAGCCGGACGGGGAGATGCAGGAGGCCGACGGGGGCAGCCCTGCGGCCGGGGCCCGGAGCCAGCGCAAGGCCAGGGGGGCCCCGGAGCAGCCCCCGCGCCGGCCCAAGAAGCGCTACAGCCGCCACGCCAAGCCCCCCTACAGCTACCTGGCCATGATCGCCCTCGTCCTCACCGCCGCCCCCGGGAAGAAGCTGAAGCTCGCCCAGGTCAGCCGCCGCTCCGCCCGGGACCCGCGGCAGGTTCCCCCGCCGGCATCCCGGACCGCGGCTCGCCCAGCCCTTCTCCCGCTCGGCTTTTGGGCGTCGGGGCTCGACGGCGCCGCTCGCTCCCAGCGCTTCTCCCGGCGCTTTGGAGAGGGGGGTCCCAGGCTGGACTGGGGGCCGGGGGGCTTCCTCGAGCGCAGCGCCGCCTTCCGCCTCGGGGGCGCCGGACCCTCGACGGCCCCGGCCGCTGCTTCCTTGCTTCTTCTCGCCCCGGCAACCGACGGAAGGGACGGGCGGGGAGCCAGCGGGCTTGGCTCCGCTTTTCTCTGCCCCTGAGCGCGGAGAGGGCGGAATGGGAAGGGTGGAAGGGATCGCGGAGGTCCTCTAGTCCAGCCCCCGACTCCAGCGGCAGACTTACACCACGCCGGCCGGCCCGGAGAAGGCTCGGTTGAGAATGGGGGAGGCCGGAGCCCCCGAGGGCCAGCAGTTCTAATGCGGGGCCCTCTTTTCTCTCCCCCCCCCCATATTCTCTCTTATAGATCACCCAAAGGATTAGCACTTTCTTCCCGTTCTTCAAGGAGAGCTACCAGGGCTGGAAGGATTCCATCAGGCACAACCTGTCGGCCAACGACTGCTTCAGGATGGTAACCAGGCCTTCTGGGAGGGGGGGGGCTGGGGGGGCAGGGGGCCTCCTCTGCCAAGAGCCTCTTCAGCCAGGGGGGGCCCCCCTTCTGAGGGGGCTGGGTGGGGTGTCTTTTGGGACTCTGGTGGGCTCTTCAACACATCTGGAGAAGTTTCCTGGGAAGCCTTCAGTCCAGCAGTCGGGGCTTCTGGATCTCAGGAAAGTTAAGATGGGTGGGCTTCAGTTCCCAGAATGCCCCCTGGGTGGGCTTCAGCTTTGTTGGCTGGTGAATTCTGGGAGTTGAAGTCCCCCCCCCCATCCTAACAGGTTCCTGAGATCCAGAAGCAGCTGCTCAGTATTTCAAATCCCATCCTCCCTCACCTAAAGAGTAAGGAGTGGGTGGTCAGGAGGAGGACTGCCTCCTTAGAGAGACCCTTCCCACCCCTCCACCTCCCAGGTGCTGAAGGATCCGTCCAAACCAAAAGGAAAAGGGAACTACTGGACAGTAGACGTGGAGCGAATTCCCCCAGAAGCCCTGAAGCTCCAGAACACGGCCATCTCCCGCCAAGAGGAAGTGACTTTCGCCCCCGACCTCAGCCCCTTCGTGCTGCAGGGCCATCCCTACGTGCCTCCCGGTGATGCTCCGGATCCCCAGACGCCCCTCCCAGCCGAAGCCCACCCCATCAAGGAAGAGGAGACCCCCGAGCCTCCGTGCAAGAAGGCCTTCACCATCAGCTCTCTGCTGAACCCGCCGAGCGAAGATGGAAGGGCCGAACCCAGCTCCCCGAGCTCAGAGGGTGCCTCCGTCGGCCGCCTCCACCCTCCTCTTGGTGAGGGTGGCCAAGAGGGCCCCTGCCCACCCGCCAGCCCTCCCCAGCTGCCCCCCGCCTGCAGCACAGACTGTTTCCAGTTGCCTCCTTGGCACAACCATGGCACTTTGTCCCCGGCTGGGGGTCCCTTGCCCCTCCCCACCTTTGTCACCATCCCGGCTTCACTCAGTCTCCCCTGTTGCACTTTGGGACCTGCTCCGTACATGAGTTCTCCTTACTGGAACTTGGTGACGGCTCCCTACTCTCCCCACCCATATCCAGGTCTCGCCCCCGGCCCACTGGAAGTACAGCAAGCTGGCCGGGTGCCGGATGCCTCCTGGCTAGCCCCTCTGCCTTGGGTGGTCCCCTTCCAGCCCCTGCCCCCTCACCATTACCCTTTCTGAGGGTGCCCCATTTCAGAGGAAGCGGGTGGCAGATACAAGTGCACAAATCCCCTTATTTATTTAACTCTCTTATGCCACGGTTTCACGAGTTGCTTTTCCTGGTGGGCTCCCTCCTTGGGGGTCCCCTTTCAACGGTTTACAACAGGTGAGCCATGCCTGCACATAGAAACTTTTATCCTCATTGTGGGAGCCGTTCACAAGCCCAGCATCCACTTCCTGGCCTTGTTCCTGGGGTCAGTCAGATTGGGAGCTTTGCCACTGGTTACTTCCTGGGGAGGGGGGCATTTTCTGGATGGGCGGTTTGCAGTTCCAACTGTACCCAGCAGCCTGTCCCGAGCACGTAAGGAGGAGGGTGGGCTTTTTGATGGTGCTGATTTCTGCCCGGTTTTCAAGGGCACGTTGATACATTATTAAATTAAAATAAATTTTACATTTAAAATATTGTTGCTTCCTTGTTTTGGTTTTTCTCACTTCTTACAGAGTGCAGTTCGGCCACAACGCCATTCAATAATCTCTCTCGGGTTGAAATCGGACACCGGGTTAAGCCATGATAGGGGTGAGGGTCCTTGGTGCTCTCTGAGCTTGGTCGTGGGGAGAGGAGGAGGACTGTGGGGTCCTTGGGCAGGGGTGGCATTCACTTACCTTTGCTACAGGTTTGCAAATGCACGTCTGCACATGCCCCCAGGGCCTTCTGTGCATGCACGAGTGTCAGAAATGGGACATGATCACCGCCCGGCTCACCCAAATCTGCTGAATAGCAGCACTGGTCCTTGGTGCTCTCTATGCTGGGTTGTTTTCATGACCCAAGTAGGGATCATCATTACTGATCAACTAGTTTGGGTCATGAAACCTCTACGAGAAAACTGCCAAGCTGGGCAGCGAGATTCCTTTATATGCCCCACAATGGAAGGACACTTTGATTCCCACCATGGATGAATGGCTGCAGAGGTTGATGGAGTTAGCAGAGGGGGCTGAACTGACTGTTTTGATTAAAGAAAAATAAACACAATAACTTTTGTTTCTGCTTGGAAACCATTTCTGGACTTTGTGCTCGAGGTGGGGGGAAAAATGAAACTTTGATTTTGGGTTTTACCGATTAGATAGGTTTGTTGTTATAGAAAGGGCTAGTTTATATTACTATATGCAATTGTCTTATTTTACTGCACTAAAGGGAGTTGGAATGCCTTTTCTCTTTTTCCTACACTTTTCCCTCCCCTATTTTTCTTACTATTTTCGTTTGAATTGTATTTTACATTATAAACTAGTAAAAGAAAAAACAAGTAAGAAAACAGCCAAGTTCAGAGAGCACCATGGACTCCTCATTTCAACCCTGACCTACAAATATTCCCTTTATTGGTGACATGATCGGGATGGATTGGGATACAGTCAGGTAAATCAGGCAGTTTCCGTCCCAAAGGTGCTTTTTTCAGGAGGCAACCAGACTTTCTTGTTATTATTTTGAAGCCATTTCACTTCTCATCCAAGAAGCTTCTTCAGCTCTGCCTGGATGGTGGATGATGGTCATTGACCAGCTGTCTGCAAGGAGTATAAATCCTTCCATTCCCCTCCATCCAGGCAGAGCTGAAGAAGCTTCTTCAATGAGAAGCAAAACATCTTCAAAGAGAAAAACCAAGAAAGTCCGGTTGCCTCCTGAAAAAGCACCTTTGGGACAACCATCACCTGGATGACTGAGAATCTCTATAGACGTTCAGCCAGTTTCACCTTACCGGGAATTGCAAATAATGATTGGAGCAAATCTTGTGTGTGAACCTGGCCAATGCAACCAGCAGCACAAAAGGAGGGGACACACACACACATACACAGAATGCCCACAGGGTGAGCTGACAATGCTGATTTATTGTCCTGAGCAGCTGACAGAAGAGGCTTCACCTGGGCAGGAACTGAGCCAGGAAAGGAAAGGGAAAATTATACGGTCTCCTGCCTCCAGGCAGGGGGTTGGACTAGAAGACCTCTAAGGTCCCTTCCAGCTCTGTGATTTATCATTGATAAAAATGGCCCCCTGCAAATCAGGGGGCATCGAGCAGGCAGTTCCTGGCATCTGGGTGGGAAGTCTGGGCAGCTCTGCCAACTTCCTCTGCTAAAAAGGATTATGGTGGGTGGTACCCAGAGTCCCTTGGGAGTTGGGTGGCATAGAAATATGATTAATTAAATTAAATTAACCCCCCCCCCCAAATGGAAGGGTGGGCTGTCCTGCACAGCAAAAAGCTGTTCCAAGGAATTGCAGTCTGCACTCCTGGGTCTAAAAGAGGATGTGGGCTTGTGCCAGCAATCCTCCTTCACGTTGTTGAGGGGTGGCACCCCAATACCTGCCCTTTAACACTTGATGAACATAACGGAGATGTGAAGAGGAGGGTGACCCCTTTGGGGAAGGCTGTGGGGGACAGGCTCCCACCTGGAGGGGGGAACCTAGGCCAGCTCTCAGGCCCATGAATCTGGCTAGGAAAATGTAGCCCCCCCCTGACTCTTGCAACCTGGGGGGAGGGTGCTTGGCAAATGAGGGGGGAGGCTCTCAGGAAGTGGGGGCCAAGCGAGTCACATACGGGGGGGGGGCATCTTTCTTTGCCTTGGGGAGGGGAGGCAGGTGGATCCTGTGACTACGAGACCCAGAGCAGAAAAAGAACAGAGCTGGAACGCAAGGAGGGTACCAGATTTGAAAAGAAGCCCCTCTATCCCCACCCCCTCCCACCCGGATCCTGGGAGCCTCAAATATGCATTTCCGGACTTGATTGGCAGGGCCCATTTCTCCAGGCAGCCCACCTGCCCAGTCCTTCCGCTCCTTCCCCAAGGGAGGCCTGCCGGAGGGCCGGGGGTCTTAGACCTCGCGCTGGTCCGGGGCCTTGATGCGACGGGAGGCCGGGCCCAGCTCCACTTTGCAGACCCGCTGTGCAAACTTGAGGGAGCAAATGGATTCGCCCACATTCTTCTCCAGGGGGGAAATCTGAGGAGTCAAAAGGAAGCAGACGGGAGAAAGGGGGAGCTGAAGGCTCTGGACACCCTCCCCAAATATATTTCCCACCAGGAAGGCCCTTTTGTGCCCTGTCCGGCTTGAACTGCTGGAGCTGATGTGCCAGGTGCTGAGATGCACTGCCCAATCCCAGTGTGCCCCCCCCCAGATCTCAAGGAGGGGGGAGAGAAAGAAAGATGCTCCTAGAATCCGACTGAACCCAGAGACTTCAAGAAGGCAGGACCGACACTCTCCGCAGGGGCCCCACTAAGCATTCAGGGCTCCAGGCAGAAGGAGGCGCTGACGGAGACTGGGCTTCTGCAGCTGTCCTGACAGCTGGTGCTGGTGTTTGAGAGCCCTGATCCCCCACCTCCACCTCTCACCCATCCCCTGCCTTCTGCTTTGCAGGTCTTGCAGGAGGGGCTGAGAAGATGGCCCAAACTTTCTTGGTTTCTTCTTCTTCGAAAACGTTTCGCTTCTCATCTGAGAAGCTTCTTCGGTTCTTGAACAACTGAAGGACTTCTGAAGAACCGAAGAAGCTTCTCGGATGAGAAGCGACACTTTTTCGAAGAAAAAAAGGAAGTGGAGTGAGAGGCCGTTTAAGAAGCAGGTGGAAAACACCCAACTAGATGACCCAGGGACGGCTTTTGGCCAGGGATGAAATCCTGCAGGTTCTGAGAGGTTCTGGAGAACCGATAGCGGAAATTTTGAGTAGTTCGGAGACCTGGCAAATACCACCTCTGGCTGGTCCTAGAGCGGGGTGGGAATGGAGATTTTGCAGTATCCTTCCCCTGCCACGCCCACCAAGCCACGCCCACAAAAACAGTATTAAAAATATTTGAATTTCCCCACTGCTTTTGGCCTCTCGTGCCTGGCAACCTACCCCCTTTTGCCATGGGGGATGAGAGCGGGGGGGCTGCCCACGGAAGGCCATGGAGCCTGAGGGTGAACTTCCAGCCAAGGTCTTGGGCCCACCCTCTTACCTTTGGGGCCCGGCCCTGCCACCTCCCTCACCTGCACCATCATGACCGTCTTGCTGCCCTTGCCCAGCGAGTCCTGCAACAGGTAGGTGAGCCTGGAGTTGCGGAAGGGCACGTGAGCCTGCTTGGTCCGCAGGGCCTGGATGACCTCTCCGAGGGCCAGCAGGGACCGGTTGATGCTCTGGGCTTCCTTCAGGCGCTCCCCCTGCGCGCCGGACTTCCACACCCGTTCTGAGCCAGCCAGGTCCACCAGGTTGAGCTTCCCTGGAAGGACGAGGCGGTTGGGGAAGTTCTCCAGGACTGAAGGAGCCTCTGCATCTCCCCGGGGCAAGGGGCCTTAAAGAGCATTTTGTGGTAGGGGTCGTTCAGCCTTTCCACACCCGATGGCAATGGGAGGAGAGGGAGCCCAAAAGGATATGGAAGGCTGGAGAGACACCATCACCAAGGAAGGCCAGAGAATCACAGGGTGCGAGCAAGCCAGGATGGAGACAGTGCCACATGCAGTGACCAGGAGAAAGGCCAGGAATGCCATCTATTCTAAAGCAGGAGCCCGGCTCTTTTCCTGGCCTGGCAGAGGTGTGGTGGGAGACGCAGGGGGCTTCCAACCAAGAGGAAATTCCCTCCTGCGAAGCCCATCCTCTTGAGAACCCAAAGGTCTCTCCCAACCTTCAGCTGAAGGTATCTCAGGAACGTCTCGAGATGCCCAGGTCAACCCTTGCCCTGCCCTGCAGGTCTGAACCTGCCGCATTCTCGGCTCAAGACTTCCACAGCTACCTGTGACCTTGGTGCCGCTGGTCAGCTCCGTGCCCGTGAGCGTGAGGGTGAGCAGAGCGTGCGAACGGGAGCTGTGCGCGTTCATGTGGGTGGAGGAGGTCCTGCGGTTCCGCTTTCCCAGCTGGAGAATCTGATACGGACACAGATTAACAGAGTTGGGGAGAGGTGCGGTGGCCAAGAGGCGGAGCTCTCGCCTCACACTCGGGAGGCTGTGAGTTCAATCCCAGGTAGAGGCAGATATTTCTCTCTCTGGGCACAATGAGAATATATCTGCTGAACAAAACTCCTCATTGGTGACAGGAAGGGCATCCGGCCAGTAAAACACTCTGCTAGTTCCGTTCAGTTGCCCAGACTCCACCCTGCAAGTGGGCCATTAAATGATGATGATGATGAATTCTATGGGGAGACATAGTTGCCCAGGCTCCACCCCGCATGGGATTATGGGATCGTTAAACAAAGATGATCATGCGGATTAACAGTGTTGGAAGGGACCTTGTAGGTCATCTACTCCAACCCCCCTCCCCCCACCCAAGCCGATCCTACACCATTTCTGACAGATGGCAGAAATCTGGGTGCAGCGAAAGGGGAAGAATTGGTCACGATCGCCTCTCTTAAGGGGAAGAGGAAATATCCAGGGCCCGGATGCGCCTGGATGTTTATAAGGCAAAATTTCACGAAATAAATCCATAATCAATAAAAAGATTTAGCCAACTTTTTTGTGTGTCCCTTTGGGTCAGTGTGGATTCCCGGCAACTGCCTGGACTTTTCTTGGCAAGATTTCAGAGGTGGCTTACCATTGTCTCCTCGCCGGGGCTCAGAGAGGGAGACTGGCTTAAGTCATCCAGCTGGTTTTGTGCCTAAGGCAGTGCTAGAACTCACGGTCTCCCAGTTTCTAGCCTGCTGCCTTAACCACTAGACCAGGGGTCTCCAAACTTGTCAACTTTAAGACTTCTGGACTTCAACCCCCAGAATTCCTTAGCCATAGCAACTTGTGGACTTCAATTCCCAGAATTCCCCAAAGTAACTTTAAGACTGGTGGACTTCAACTCCCAGAATTCCCCAGCCATTCTGGGAATTGTCCACCAGTCTTAAAGTTGTAAGTTTGGAGACCCCTGGGTTACAGCAAACCTAGAGGTGGCTGAGGGATTCTGGGAGGTGAAGTTCACAAGTCTTAAAAGTTGCACTGTTAGAGACCCCAGCACTAGACCGAAGTGGCTCACACCTGTTTTCTGGCACAGGTGAGCTTTGGCATTGCCAAGTGAAAGAGCAACCACCCGCCACAACCCAGAACTTCACCTTCCCTGGCCAGCTTCTGCTCACCATCGAACTGGCAGTGCCCGTCTTACCGAACTGGCCCCCAAAACAAGATCCAGTCCACTTACCTTCTGAATCTCAGAGAAGTTCTGGACCTCCATACTGGTGAGGCCTGGGACGTGAAGCTGACCACTCCCGTCGGGATGCAACTTGATGTCTAATTTCTCCTGAGGGTCTTTGGTCAGTAGATCTCTGGATAGGAGAGAGAACAGACAAATGAGAGCAGATAAGGGTCTTCCAGTATTTGAGGGGCTGCCATGAAGAGGAGGGGGCCCACCTATTCTCCAAAGCACCTGAAGGCAGGACAAGAATCAACGGATGGAAACTAACCAAGGAGGGAAGCAACCTGGAACTAAGGAGAAATTTCCTGACAATGAAAACAATGAATCAGTGGAACAACTTGCCACCAGAAGTTGTGAATGCTCCAACACTGGAAGTTTTTAAGAAGGGACTGGACAATCAATGGTCTGAAATGGTATCAGGTCTCCTGCCAGAGCAGGGGGTTGGACTAGAAGACCTCCAAGGTCCCTTCAAACTCAGTTATTCTGTTATCCCCATTGATAGTGAGAGCAATTAATCAACGGAATGGATTGCTTTCTGGAGTTGAGGGTTAGGGTTCTGCCTTAGGCATGAAAACCAGCTGGGTGACTTTCAGACAATCACCAGGAGAGGTGAGTTCTAGTCCTGCCTTAGTCATGAAAGCCAGCTGGGTGACTTTGGGCTAATCACCAGGAGGCTGGGAGTTCTAGTTTCTTAGGCACGAAAGCCAGTTAGGTAACTTTGGGCCAGGCCCCAGGTGATTGGGAGTTCTAGTCCTGCCTTAGCCATGAAAACCAGCTGGGTGACTTTGGCCAGTCTCTCCCAACCCACTTCACAGGGTTGTTTTGGGGAAAACAGCAGGAGGAAGGAATAGTAGATACGTTCGCTGCCCTGAGTTACTCATAAAGAAGTAAAGGTGGGATGAAAATAAATAAACAGTTGCGTTGAACCTCCATTCTTGCAAAGGGCTGCCCTTTGGATCCCCCTCTGCTCACCTGATCACTTCATTGTAGATCTCCACCATCGTGAGGTGGACTGAGAACTTCCATGCCTGCGCCTGCTTGGCCTCCATCTCCTGGTAGAGAGCACGCAGGGCCTGCTGGTTGATCCCCGGATTCCCTGGGACCCCCTGGAAGCAAAGGAGAGTTTGGGAGCCTTCTCCTCCCAGGGAAGCAGGCCCGAAGGGGTGGGGGGTGGGGCATTTTTTTCTGCAACTCCCTTCCTGTCTCTGGTCTCCAGGTTCTCTTCTGCATGGAGCATAAGAGACCCACCAGATCCTGGGTGCTCTCTGCATCTCTACAAGATGTTTTCTTGTAGACGTTACATGACCCAACTAGGTAACTTCATCAGTGCTAGAAGAGGGGGGGTTGCAGAAAGGAGGAGGAGGAGGAGCGACTGGGGAGTTTTTGGTGCTCTCTGAGCTTGGTGGTTTTCTTGCAGATGTTTCATGACCCAACTAGGTAACTTCATCAGTGCTAGAAGGGTTTGTGGAGAGGAGGAGGAGGAGGAGGAGGAAGAGGAGGAGGAGGCGGCCTGAGGGTCCTTGGTGGTCTTTGAGCTTCTTGGGCCATGAAACATCTCCTACAGATGTTTCGTTATCCAACTAGGTAACAGCATCAGTGCTAGAAGGGAGAGGGGTTTTCTTTCTGTTTATATACATTTGATAGGGCAAGCCTTGTGTATAATCGGAGAACAAACCCCGCTCCCCTTCTAGCACTGATGATGTTACCTAGTTGGGTCATGAAACGTCTGCAAGAAAACCCCCGGAGCTCCAAGGATCCCCCTCCCCTCCAGTTCAACCCTGAGCTACAAATATTCTCTTTTATTGGAGACCCACTTTGCTGGCCCAGCGCAGGACCCCTCGAAAGGGAGAGCCTCCCTCCGCCCCCTCCCCCCCCACACTGGACAAGGCCTTACCTCCATGGTGTAGGTCTTGCCCGAGCCCGTCTGTCCGTAGGCGAAGATGCAAACGTTGTAACCTTGCAGGCAGGACAGGACCACCGGCTCAATCTCCAGGAAGACCTGCCAAGGCACAGCAACATGGAGGGGGGTGTCACCAAACAACGCCCCTTCCCTGCAGGCATCGCCGAGGGCAGGAGCTGCGGGGGAGTGGGGAGGCACAGTTGGGGGACAGGGGAGCTCTGGATCCATCTGGAGGGGGGTGGGGCAATAGATGGCTCAGAGCAAGACTTAATTCGCCCCCATGGAGGCTGAAGCAGCATTGCCAGGGTTTGGGGCGGGGGTCTAAAAACTGGGAAGGGCATCACCCACTGACCTGCATCAGGACCCCAGATAGCCTCCTGCTCCCCCAAAGCCTCACCCCCCCCCCACCCAGGGGAAATGAGAGAGTGGCGCCCTGCTTTCCTTAAAGGGGAGGGAGAGGGCTTCCAGATTTCCCCGAGGCAGCCCCTCCCACCCCAGAAAGGGGGCTCTCCAGTATAAGGCAGGGCACGATGGGACCTTGCCCCACTTGTATCATTCCCAGAGTTTTCACAGTGATGTGCTGCCCTCCCCAGACACACACACATCCCGTGCCTCCCCAGTGAGGTTGGTGAGGGGAGGGGGGGGCTGAGTCGAGACCCTGGTGATGGGGAGGTGCTCACCTCCTCCTGAGTGGCGCAGGGCAGGAAGACCTTGTCCAGCTTGAAGTGATGCTCCTTCCCCTTGTAGCTGGCGGTCACACAGCCGTCCTCGGCCGGGCTGGCTTCTACCCCGGGACCCCCGGGGACCCCCTGCTGCTGCTCCTCCTCGGTCAGCGGCTTCAGGCGACACAAGACCCGGATGTTGCCTGAGAGATGGGGAGGGATGGAGGGCAGGGTCCGTTCAGGCTGACCCACCAAGGCAGAGGGGAGGGTCCTGTTTCAAGTTCCTGGGGAGGTGGTCTCATCTGGCTCCCCCAGATAGGAATGAGCCCCCCCACCCACCCACCCCGGATGCTTTCTCCCTGCACCCTCGCTGCCAATGTAGCTCTCCCTGCCATTTCCACTGCTTATGCTCAGGTCATCTCGGCTTCTGGAAGCGGAAAGGAGACCACCCAGAGATCTCAGGGCTGCAGCCCAGATTGGGAAGGCTCAAAGGGAAAGTGCAAGGCCACGTTCAGAGAACCACTGGCTCCATTGCAGGGCGGGCTCCTTTGTTATGCTGCAGAGGGAATCCAGCCTCTGCTTTTCTACCATTTGGGCGAGGAAGAGGGGAAGTGAGACCGTTGTAACTTCGAAACGGTCACTAAATGAACTATTGAAGCAGAGAACTACCTGTATTTTTTATTTATCATGAGATGGGTGGCTGAGATACATAGTTAGATGATTGATTGATTGATAGATAGATAGATAGATAGATAGATAGATAGATAGATAGATAGAATTGTGAATAGAATAGAATAGAATAGAAATGAAGAACAGAATGGAATGGAATGGAATAGAATAGAATAGAATAGAATAGAATAGAATAGAATAGAATAGAATAGAATAGAATAGAATAGAATAGAATAGAGAAAATATGGAGTGGAGTGGAGTGGAATGGAGTGGAGTGGAGTGGAGTGGAGTGGAGTGGAGTGGAGTAGAGTAGAGTAGAGTAGAGTAGAGTAGAGTAGAGTAGAGTAGAGTAGAGTAGAGTAGAGTAGAGTAGAGTAGAGTAGAAATGAAGAATAGAATAATAGAACAGAACAGAACAGAATAGAAATGAAGAATGGAATGGAATGGAATGGAATGGAATGGAATAGAATAGAATAGAATAGAATAGAATAGAATAGAATAGAATAGAATAGAATAGAATAGAATAGAATAGCTGGAAGGGACCTTGGAGGTCTTCTAGTCCAGCCCCCTGATCAAACAGGAGAACCTAGACTCTTTCAGATAAGTGGCTATCTGGTCTCTTCTTAAAAACTTCCAGTGATGGAATTGACCACGATTTCTGAAGACAAGCTATTTGTTGATTTAATTTATATCCCACCGTTATTGTGAAGCAGAAAGCCCCCCCCTCCCCTCAGTCAGCAGCAGGATTGCCCCCTGCCTCTCACCAAGCCTCCCTGCCCCACCCCGGTAAGTCTGCCCATCGGCCCCGTCTCCAACATCACAGGTGGTGCTTCCGGCCCCTTCCAGATCTTCGGCAGCCCTCAAAGAAGAGGGTATCTGACCCCCATTTTGAGCCAGACATTGGGGTGGGGTGGGGGGGAACAGACAGTCACAGGAAGATGGAAGGGACCCCCCAGACAGACACCCCCAGCCCAGACCCAGAGCAGAGACCCAGGGTCTGTGTTGGGATCTCTGCCTTAGAAATCATGCAAGCAGCAACGGACGGGGATTGGGGGGCAGTCCATCCATCACCAAAGAAACCAAGCCAGGTAAAGCCCCCCCATGCCCCCCTGCTGCTTTCCCCCATGCCCAGGGACCTACCTTTCAGCTCCAACAGCTGGTCATGGTATTTCTTGCGAAGCTGCACCTCCCGCAGGTAACGCTCCTGCAGACACTGGCTGCTCTGTGCCACTTCCCTGATCACCGAGAACATCTGGAGGGGAGGGGGGAGAGTGAGGGGGGCAGAACAGCCCCCCTAGAAGCCCCCAATCTGGGGGAGAGTACCCCTTCAAACAGAAAATTAGACCTGGAGGTCATCTAGTCCAGCCCCCTGCTCAAGTAGGAGACTATCCAATTTGAGACAAGTGGCTCTCCAGTCTCTTCTTAAAAAGTGATGAGGTGCCTACAACTCTGGTGGCAAGCTGTTCCACTGGTTAATTGTTCTTAGTTCTAGGTTGCTTCTCTTCTTGATTAGTTTCCATCGGTTGCTTCTCCTCCTGCCCTCAGGAGCTTTGGAGAACAGCTTGACTCCTTCTTCTTTGGGGTAGCCCCTCAAATATTGGAACACCCCTAGTCCTTCTTTTCATCAAACTAGATTTCTCCAATTCCTGCAGCCATTTATTTATTTATTTATTTATTTATTGGTTCGATTTATATGCCGCCCTTCTCCGGAGACTCAGGGCGTCTTACAATGCTTTTAAGCAATAGCCTTCATACTTTTGTATATACCTGCTTAGTAGAGCTTTCGCCCCCCCCACCACCAGCGGTGTTCTTTTTTATACAAAGTCAGCTTATTGCCCCACAAACCGGGTCCTCATTTTACCTACCTCGGAAGGATGGAAGGCTGAGTCAACCTTGAGCCTGGTGTGATTTGAACTCGCAGTAATTGCAGACAGCTGGTGCTACTTAACAGCACTTTAGTGTACTCCGCCACCAAGGCTCTTCTTTATTTATTCAAATGTTTATTCATATTTATTCATATGTTTTAGCCTCTAGTTCCCTAATCCTCTTTTGCTCTTCTCTGCACTCCTTCCAGAGTCTCGGCATAATTTTTGTGTCATGGTGATTTTTTTACATTTCATATTTTTTTACATTTTAAATAATTAATGAGCTTCCTCTTCGGTGTTTAAGCACTGAGGGAGTATTTGGGGTCCTGCAAGGCAAGTTCTCTTTTTGTGGGTTCAGGGGTGTCAGTTATGTGTATTTTGGTCCCCCGGTTGGTTTTGGACACCCAGCCATCACAGACACCCCCCTCCGGTTGGATTTTATCCCTCCTGGTTCTCTCCACCTCCTTTTCCTCTCTTTTATCCTTCTACCTCTCTCCTTCCTCTTTTCCTTCTCCACCACGATCCATTTTTCAATCCCCCAAGCACAATGCAGCAACTGCCCCCCATTGCAGAAAACATGGGGTTCCCCCCCCACCCCTCGGCCATGACACCAGGGCAGTCCTTCTCAACCTTGGCATCCTGAAGGTGTGTGGACTTCGACTCCCAGAATTCCCCTGGCTGGGCCTCACCTGCACCTGAGTCTCACCTGCAACTTGGCTTCCTCGACGGCGGCTTTGTAACAGTGGGCAAAACTCCCCATTTCCCCCTGGATGTTCCGGAAGTCCAATTGCAGCCCCTGGAGGAGGGGGCGGAGGGTGTGCAGATGCTGCTTCATTCCTGGGGGGGGGAACCAAAATGGAAAAGGGGGGAGGAGGAGGCCAGGCTGACTTTGCAGTCTGTAGTTGCCCCAAGGAGCAGATTGCTCTCTGCAAACAGGGGTCCCCTCAAGATGCTCGCAGGAGCTCTCCTTTCCCTGGGGGGGTGGAATCTACCCCGCTCCCCCCTCCCTGTGGTCTCATATGCCCCCAGTCCCCCCACCCAATACCTGCCAGCTGTTTGCGCAGGGGCTGGGCACGCTCCTCGGACGTCCGGGAAGCCTCTTGCACTGCCATATCCTTCTGCTCCTCCAGCTGCCGGATCTCGTGAAGCAGCTCCTGACGCAGCCCCGAGACCTCCTTCTCGTAGGCAGAGATCTGTCAGGGAGAGAGGGCCCTTCAGGAGGGACAGGGGCCACTGCCAGGGGCCAACTGGGCAAGTCCTTCTTTTAAGACAGCTGCTGAAATACCCCTTCTGTCCAGTGGCGGAATTCAATTTTTTTTACTACCTGCGTGGTTTGATGGGCATGGTGTGGCTTGGTGGGTATGGCAGAGGAAGGATACTGCAAAATCCCCATTCCCACCCCACTCCTGGGAGAAGCATGTTGCAAAATCTCCATTCCCACCCTACTCTGGGGCCAGCCAGAGGTGGTATTTGCCGGTTCTCCGAACTACTCAAAATTTCCACTACCGGTTCTCCAGAACCTGTCGGAACCTGCTGAATAGCACCCCTGCTTCCGTCAGGTTCTTCCTTTTAAAAGAGGGGTCTCCAAGCTTGGCAACTTTAAGGCTTCTGGACTTCAACTCCCAGAATTCCTCAGCCATGGCAACTTTAAGACTGGTGGACTTCAACTGGCTGGGGAAATCTGGGAGTTGAAGTCCAGAAGCCTTAAAGTTGCCAAGCTTGGAGACCCCTGTTCTAAAATGTCCCACCCTCCCCAGGGAAAACCTGAGATCCCACTCTAAAGTTGTCTTTGCAAACTGCCCATCACTGCGTTAATCTGTCACCCCAAACTTCTCTGCTACTGAATTTTCAGAGCTGGCTGACTGCCAGATTATCGTGCGTTCTGCACCCCTCCGGAATGTAAGGAGATCGGCCGATTGGGACTGGGGGTGGGGGTGGGGGGGCAGAAGAAGATCTGGGAATGAACCTTGCGGCCATCTGGTCCCGGTCCCCCCCTTGCTCAGAGCAATACAGGTAGTCCTTGACCTAAAGCACCCCCCGGGAATGGGCTGCCCCCTTTCTATTGGACTCCATCCAGCCAGGGAAGGAAAGGCCGCCACCTGCTTGCTCACTGGGGGAGGGGTTTGCAGATGTTCAGGTGAGCCCATCCCCCGGGGAAGAGCATCGCCCAAGACCCCCAGCGTACCTTGTGCCGGAGGGCAGCTGCCACCCCCTCTGAACTCTGCAGCTGCTCCGCCAGCTGTTGGCACTGCTGTGCCTGGGAGGACAGCTGTTGCACCAGGGCCCTGTTCTGCGCCTCCGCGTTGGCCAAAGCCTGCAGCGTCTGGGAGGAATCCGCCTGCACCCCCTTGGCCGGGCCCTGGGTGGGAAAGGTCAGCACAGAGCGTAAGAGGCTCAAGGGCCCTCAGACCCCCGCAGCATCTGCAAGGGAGGTGCTCTGAGCCCCTCCCCTGCCTTCGCTTCCCACCTGCCCAACGTGTCAGAATGGGGGCTCCAGGCTTCCCCATTGGTGGGTCCCAGCCTTATTGTTATTTCCTTCTCATCTTTCCTATTATCTTTTCCTTTAGCAACAGGGGTGACTTTCCCTTTGTTGGTTGTATCTTATGATTTAGGTTGATGGTATTTTATGATCTCTTGTCACTTGTATGCACACTCAGAGCTTACGCACTGGAGACAAATTCCTTGTGGCTCCAATTTACTCTTGGCCAATAAAGAATATTCTGTTCTGTTCTGTATTTCATATATTCTCTGGTCTTCTCTCCTCTCCTCTCTTCATTTTTCTATTCCATTCCACTCTCCACCATTATTTTTCAGTGGGGAGGGCTTTCCATTCCCACCTGGTCTATTCTTGAGGATCCCCCGTTGCTCCCCCAGCCAGCTCTGAGCCTGCTCACCTTTCCTCAATCAGAGGGGCGTTTATTTATTTATTAAATAATTATTTATTACAGCCACCCAACTCACTCATGGAGACTCTGGGAAGCCGACAGCAATGAAACCCAAATACAAAATCCAGTAACAAGAACATCCCACCCGGACAACAATCACACCGATCCCTTGATGGGTTTGTTGACACCCCTTCTTAGCCACTGCAAATACAGAAATCTGAATAACAGAGTCAGAAGGGACCTTGGAGGTCTTCTAGTCCAGCCCTCTGCTCAAGCAGGAGCCCCTATATGGCCCCGAAAGAGCCCCGGCCACACTTACCTGGACCTCAGAAGGGGGGCCCTTCTGACTCTGCAGGGGGAGCCGGAGGCCGCAGAGCTGCTTGTCCAGCTGCCGCACCTCTTCCTCCCTGCTCCGCTGCAGCTGGTCCATGCGCCCCTCCAGGCGCATCAGTTCGCCCACCTTCTGCTGCAGGCTGGCCTCCAGCTGCAAGACTTTGTGGTGGAGAGCCTCGTTTTCCTGCAAGGGGCATCAAGAATGTCATTTCTTTATTTAGCAAAGGGCGAAAATGTGAGGAAGCACATCACAAGCAGCAAGAATTAACTTGTGCCTGCATGCGGGATTTGAGTGGGGACAGATACCAAGACACAATGACCCTCAAACCCCAGAGGAGCTTCCAGTCCTTTTAACTCCAGTGCCCATTTTCCTGGCCAAGTCAGCTCATTGTTTTAAGAGCAGTATTGGTCCAGTGGTTACAGTACAGTATTGCAGGCTAAATCTGCCCACTGCTAGGAGTTCGATCCTGACTGGCTCAAGGTTGACTCAGTCTTCTGTCCTTCGGGGGTGGGTAAAATGAGGATCCAGATTGTTGGGGGCAAGAGGCTGACTCGGTAAACTGCTTGGAGAGGGCTGGAAAGCATTGTAAAGCAGTATATAAGTCTAAGTGCTAGTTCTAGGAAAGGAAGGAAGGAAGGAAGGAAGGAAGGAAGGAAGGAAGGAAGGAAGGAAGGAAGGAAGGAAGGAAGGAAGGAAGGAAGGAAGGAAGGAAGGGCGGGCTGTGGTGGCACAGTGGTTAGAGTGCAGGATTGCAGGCTAAATCTGCCCACTGCTAGGAGTTCAATCCTGACTGGCTCAAGGTTGACTCAACCTTCTGTCCTTCCAAGGTGGGTAAAATGAGGACCCAGATTGTTGGGGGCCAGAGGCTGACTGTAAGCTTAGAGGGGGCTGGAAAGCACTGTGAAGCGGTATATAAGTACTATGCTAGTGCTATTGTTTTATCTGACAGCAGGGTAGAGCGTGTCTGTGACTCTTCACATGCTCAGAGACATGCGCTGTGGCAGTGCTGCCTTTGTAACTCAGTGCGGCAAGACTGGGCATTTCTGCTCTTGTGGAAGACACTTTTCCACGGAGCTGACCTGACCTTCCCCCAGCCCCATTTAAGCCTACTCGTAACGGGATATGGCCAGATTTGGGGTCCTGGGCTGGCCCTTAGAAGGCAGGGGGGGCAGGGCAGGGGCTCACCATGGCCATCCGATCGGAGGGCTGGGCAGAGATGGCAGCCGCCTGCTGCAGGAGCCCCTGGGAGAGCTGCAGACTCTGCTTGAGACCCTCGTTTTCCATGGTCAGGTTGTGGATTCGCTTCTCCGAGTCCGTCACACCCTGGGGGCCAAAGAGGAGTTCAGTCCGTCCATCAGAAGAGAGCCGGAAGGGACCTGGGAGGCCTTCCAGTCCAACCCCCTGCTCAAGCACCAGAACCTACCATTCCAGCCTCTTTTCAAAAGCCTCCAGTGCTGGAGCAGCCATAACTTCTGGAGGCAAGCTGTTTCCCTGATTAATTGATCTGGGATTATAGAATAACAGAGCTGGAAGGGACCTGGGAGGCCCTCTAGTCCAACCCCCTAGGCCTAGACCATTGCAGACAATCTCTTCTTGAAAATCTCCAGGGATGGAGCACCCACAACCTCTGGTGGCAAGCTGTTCCACTGATCGATTGTCCTCACCACGAGGAAATTTCTCCTTAACTCCAGGTTGCTTCTCTCACTCATCCTGAGTTCATGAGTTCCAGTGGTGGGTTTCAAAATTTTTTACTACCGGTTTTGTGGGTGTGGCTTGGTGGGCTTGGCAGGGGAAGATTACTGCAAAATCCCCATTCCCCCTGCCTCCCCGATCAGCTGGGACGTGGGAGGAGGCAGAGAATAGATGGGGGCGGGGCCAGTCAGAATTTTTTTCTACCGGTTCTGTGGGTGTGGCTTGATGGGCGTGGCGTGGCTTGGTGGGCGTGGCAGGGGAAGGATACTGTAAAATCTCCATTCCCTCCCCAATCCAGGAGAAGGTTACTGCAAAATCCCCATTCCTTCCCCCCCATCAGCTGGGACTTGGGAGGAGGCAGAGAATAGATGGGGGCGGGGCCAGTCAGAATTTTTTCTACCGGTTCTGTGGGTGTGGCTTGATGGGCGTGGCGTGGCTTGGTGGGCGTGGCAGGGGAAGGATACTGTAAAATCTCCATTCCCTCCCAATCCAGGAGAAGGTTACTGCAAAATCCCCATTCCTTCCCCCCCCGATCAGCTGGGACTTGGGAGGAGGCAGAGAATAGATGGGGGCGGGGCCAGTCAGAATTTTCACTGCCGGTTCTCCAGAACTGGTCAGAACCTGCTGAAGCCCACCTCTGATGAGTTACTTCCCTTCCTCAGCCTCGGCCTGTTCTTCTTGGGGGAGAAACCCCTCAATTCCTCCCCCACTACAGCACCTGCTGGGTGCTGACCCTCCCCAGCCCTCCTGCCCCCGTTTCCCTTTCGCGAGGGGCCGCCTTCCTCACCCTGCCCAGGCGGAGCTGCTCCCGTTCTTCCTCCTGCCCTTGGATCTGCTGCTTCAGGCCTTGGATCTGCCGGGAAAGAAGAACCCGGACAGTCAGCCCCATTCAAGGCCCCCGAATCCTTTAGGGCCCTGATTTGGGGCCCCCGAAGCCCGCCCGGCCCCCCCTCTTCTCCACGGGGTCCCTTCAAAGATCTTCCCCAACAGATGATAGAAAACAGCTCATTTAGTGACCGTTGCAAGTTACAACAGCATTGAAACGAGGGACTTAGGACCGTTTTTCACACTTACGACCACTGCATCGTCCCCATAGTCACATGATCAGCCGCTTGGCAACTGGCATGGACTTATGACGGTTGCAGTGTCCCCACAGTCATGTGATCAAAATGCAGATGCTTGGCCGTTGACTCATTTTTTACGACGGTCGTAATGTCCCGGGGTCTCGTCATCCCCTTTTATAACCTTCTGACAAGCAAAGTCAATGGGGAAGCCTGATTCACTTAACAACCATGTGACTAATTTAACAAGTGCAGCGATTCACTTAATAACCGTCTGCGTTGCCATCGGAAATGTTGTGCTCAACGGTGGTCGTAAGTTGGGGACAACCTGTAAATCAGGGGTCCTCAAACTTGGCAGCTTTAAGACTTGTGGACTTCAATTCTGGGAGTTGAAGTCCACAAGTCTTAAAGCTGCCAAGTTTGAAGACCTCTGCTGTAAATGAAAAAGTTGGAAGGGGCCCTAGAGGTCTCCTAGCCCACCCCCTTGCTCAAACACAATAGCTAACGCTTGGCCAGGGGCCCGGACTCTCTAGGGTGGTGGTCTTACCTGGTGGTGAAAGCTCCTGGCCAGCTGCTGCTTCTCCCTCTCTCGCTCTTCCACCCGCTGCTGGAGACCCACCACCTCCTCGGCCAGGTGGCTCCGCTCTCCCTGGAGGGCGCTGATGGACTCCACCAGCTGGTGCAGACCCCCAGGGGCCACGGGGCAGAGCAGGCCGGGGGATTGCAGCTTTGAGCCTGGACGGAGGAGAAGGGTTAGCAGGGGAGACCTGGGAAGGAGAGGGGTCTGGCCTAGGGGGCCTGAGCTGAGCTTGGAACTCTAAACCGCCTAGGGTGGACCATGCAATACCCCCCCCACTAAAGGCCACAGAGCTCTTGTCCAGCCATCTCCCCCTCCCCAACATCTGGAGGAGGGCCAGCCCCTCCTGAGGGCACCTCAGAAAATCAGAATAAGAGAAGAACAGAGTTGGAAGGGACCTTGGAGGTCTTCTAGTCCAACCCCTGCTCAAGCAGGAAACCCTAAACCAGGTGTTTCCAACCTTGGTAACTTTAAGACATCTGGGCTTCAACTCCCAGAATTCCTCAGCTAGCCATGTTGGCTGGGGAATTCTGGGAGTTGAAGTTCCCAAGTCTTAAAGTTGCGAAGGTTGGGGACCCCTGCCCTACACCGTTTCAGACAAATGGCTCTCCAGCCTCTTCTTAAAAACCTCCAGCGTTGGAGCAGCCACAACTTCTGGTGGCAAGCTGTACCAATGGTTAATTGTTCTCACTGTCAGGAAATTCCTCCTTAGTTCTAGGTTGCTTCTCTCCTTGATCAGTTTCCATCCGTTGAGTGCCTGTGGAGATTCTCAAGTCCTCCAGGTCCTGGTTGTCCCAAAGGTGTTTTTTTTTTCCAAGAGGCAACCGGACTTTCTGGTTTTTCTTTGAAGACGTTTCGCTTCTCCTCCAAGAAGCTTCTTCAGCTCTGACTGGATGGTGGGGAATGGAGCTGAAGAAGCTTCTTGGATGAGAAGGGAAACGTCTTCAAAGAAAAACCAGAAAGTCCGGTTGCCTCTTGAAGAAACACCTTGGGAATTTCCATCCATTGCTTCTTCTCCTTCCTTCAGGTGCTTTGGAGAATAGCTTGACTCCCTCTTCTTTGGGGCAGCCCCTGAGATATCGGAAGACTGCTATCATGTCTCCCCTGGTCCTTCTTTTCATTAAACTAGACATACCCAGTTCCTGCAACCGTTCTTCATATGTTTTAACCTCCAGTCCCCTAACCACCTTTGTTGCTCTTCCCTGCACTCTTTCCAGAGTCTTAACACCCTTATTTATATTGTGGTGACCAAACCTGGATGCCGGATTCCAAGTGTGGCCTTTCCAAGGCCTTATACAGTGATATCAACCCTTCACCTGATCTTGATTCTATCCCTCTGTTGATGCAAGCGAGGGTTGGCTTGGCTTTCTGAATGAATCATTCCAAAAGGGCATCCCACCTGCCTGCACCTTCTCCAGGAGGCCCTGCTGTTCCAGGATGATGGCTTCCAGGCTCTGGATGACGCTGAGCTTGTCCTTCACCCGCTGCTGGTAGGCCCTCTTCAGCCCCCGCATCTGCCGGCGCCAACGGCTCTCCTCCCAGTGCAGGCGCGAACGATACTCGCCGGCCTTCTCCTGCAGCTGCTGCAGCTGGGTGTAGCGCTCCAAGAAGGAGAAGAGCTGCAGCATCGTTTGCACCAGTGGGGACTCCGGGGGCTGCGTGGGGAGGGGAGATGGGGGGGTCCCGCGGGGAGAGGGCAGCCGGCAGCCCAGAGCAGGTAGGAAGAGGGGAGAGCAAGGTTAGCCACAGGGTGGGCAGCGCCAATTCTCCCCACTCTCCCAGCTGGCTTTCATGCCTAAGGTGGAACTAGAACTCCCAGTCTCCTGGTGGTTGGGCCAAAGTCATCCAGTCAGCTTTTGTGCCTAAGATGGGACTAGAACCCCTGCCTCTGCACCACGTTTGTGTGAATGTGACAGAAAAGGGGGAAAGGAAGGCAGGGGCCCAGCTCTTGTGCCCCCACCACCACTATTGCTTCATGTCCCCCTCCCCAGGACAGGCCTCTTTCCCCTCCCTGCTAGACCGGGACCCCCAGGGACCCCATCCCTTGCTTCTCCTTCAGGGGGGAGCATTTCCTCCTCCCAGCCAAGGGGGCATTTCAACTCAGGCCCCACTGTTCTCCCCCCGCCCCCCGCGAAAGCCAGGAGAACGGGGGCAACCTTTCCACACAGCATTTCCCTCTCGGCAATGGCTGCCTCGCGCTTGAGGGCCAGGAACTCCGTCAGTGGGGTGGGGGCTTCCTCCGAGCCCAGGTCATCCTCCTCGGAGGGGCTGCCTCGGTCGCTCTCGGAGCTGCCTGCCAAGGCCAAGCAGGCTGGTGAGGTTGAGCTGCGGCCCCTTGCCCAAAGCCCCCTCCCTAGGCACCCCCTCCCACCTCCACGCGCCAGCCAAATTTCCCAGCCCCATCTTGGCAGAGAAGCCTGCTTGCTAGCAATAACGGAGACCGTAGCTCAGGGTTCAAATGTGGGAGGGGGGGGTCCTTGGTGCTCTCTGATCTTGGTGGTTTTCTTGCACACTTTTCATGATCCAAACTAGGGACCATCATTATCTAATTAGAAGGAAGTGGGGTTTGTGGAGAAGGGAGGAGGAGGGGGAGGAGGAGGGGGGGAGGAGGAGGAGGAGGAGGAGGAGGAGGAGGAGGAGGAGGAGGAGGAGGAGGAAGAGGAAGAAGAAGAGGAAGAGGAAGAGGAGGAGGAAAAAGAGAGGACTGTGGGGTCCTTTGTGCACTCTGGGCTTGTCAGACAAGTCATAACCCAGCAAGGTAACATCTTCAGTGCAACAGCGTCAGCACTGATGATGTTACTTAGTTGGGTAATGAAACGTCTGCAAGAAAACCACCAAACTCAGAGTGCACAAAGGGACCCTCATGCACACAGAAAAAAGACCCCCCCCCATCACTTTGCTTCCTAGACCACTTTGGACTCTGCCCCTGCCCTAACCCTGGCAGTGCCCCTTGCCAGCATCTGCGGCTGGGAGCGGGGGAGGGGGAAAAGAGGTGGTAACTGGCCCAACCCCCCCTGTGCTGAGCCTGCCCCTGTGTGGTGGGGGGCAGAAGAGAAGAGAAACCTACTGTCCACATCGGTCAGCTGCAGCCATCGATGGCTGGGTGAGGGGGTCTTGATGGAGTCCTCTGGCAGCTCCTCCGAGAAAGCTCTGCGGCCCTGGGGAGGCAGAGAAACGGGTCAGCCCCCTGGGAGGATCACTGATATTCCTCCCATGGGCTTCCTGCTTCAGATTAGATTAGATTAGATTAGATTAGATTAGATTAGATTAGATTAGAATAGAATAGAATAGAATAGAATAGAATAGAATAGAATAGAATAGAATAGAATAGAATAGAATAGAACAAAACAAAGCTGGAAGGGATCTTCGAGGTCTTCTAGTCCAACCCCCTGCTCAGGCAGGAGGCCCTAACATTTCAGACAAATGGCTGCCCAGTCTCTTCTTAAAGACCTCCAGTGATGAAACACCCAGAGTTTCTGGTGGCAAGCTGTTCCACTGGTTAATTGTTCTCACTGTTAGGAAGTTTCTCCTCAATTCCAGGTTGCTTCTCTCCTTGATGAGTTTCCATCCGTTGTTTCTTGTCCTGCCTTCAGGTGCTTTGGAGAATAGTTTGACACCCCCCCCCCTCTCTGTGGCAAATTAGGAACAGCCAAATCACAACCTCCTGCCCCAGACGTCCCAATGGGGCTGGGATTCAACCCGTTTAGGAGATGCCAGCTGGCATAGGGCTACAATGCAGATAATGCAAGGGCTGGCCTTAAGGCCCTGCGTCTTATATCCTGCCTTCATAATTTTTACAAATAACTCAAGGAGGCAAGGATACCTAATAGTCCTTCTGCCTCCTGTTTTTTCCCACAACAACCCTGTGAGGTAGGTTGGGTGAAAAGAGAGTAATTGCCCCAAAGTCACCCAACTGGCTTTCATGGCTAAGGTGGGACTAGAACTCACAGTCACCTAGTGATTGGCCCAAAGTTACCCAGCTGGCTTTTGTACCTGAGGTGGGATTAGAACCCCTGCCTCTGTACCAAGTGTCAACCCCGAAGCTGTGTGAATGCGGCATAAAAGGAGGAAAGGAAGGCAGGAGAAGCAGGCCAGCTCTTGTAGCCCCCCTCCCTCCCTCCCACAGGACTAGAACTCACCGTCTCCTGGTGATTGGCCCAAAGTCACCAAACCAGCTTTCATACCTAAGGTGGGACTAGAACTCACCGTCTCCTGGTTTCTAGCCTGGTGCCTTAACCCCTAGACCCACCGGGCTCTTTCAAAGACTGGCTTTTCCTTCTCAGCATTTTTTTGGGGGGGGCTGATAGATGCCTCCCCTGCCCTGTTTCTTTGCAAATGCCGTTTTAGCAGCTGGACACTCAGCTGCACTGGCACCACATGATCCGGTGTGGCAAATTGGTGCCAGGCGCTTTGGCTTGATACATTGCAACTCTGGCCAGGCTGTTTGGCACTCCCAGGGGGTCCAGACGAGCCACCCCCCCTCCCAGAATCTGAGCTCTCTGCCATGGCTCACTGTTTGCTCTCCATCATGCAGAACCTCGCCCAGAGGCACACAGGTGTGGCCTCCCTTGGGGCGCCTGACCTGGGATAACCCCTCTCCCAGCTGAGTGGTCCCTGAATTGGCAAGGTGCTGTGGCTCTGTTTCCATGGTGGCAGGTGCCATGGAAACCCCATCACTGAGGGTGGGTGCCTTCTCTTCCTCCTGCCAACTTGCAATGCAAATGTATAGGCTGATGCACCTGCTAGAAGACAGGTGTGGGTGTGAGTGTGTGACAGATAGAGAGAACGACACCTGGAGCAGAGTCACCTGGGAGAATCACAAGCCATGGGTATGTCCCAAGAGGAAGAGGCACTCTGTACACGCTCGGTGGTGCTCTCTTCCAGCACTGCCAGTTCATCAGCAGCTCTGGGAGACGCACCTCCCTACTTATGGAACTCATATCTGTTTATGGAATTCTACGTTAATTACTAAAGTTATGCATTCATCCTTCCAATGCGAGGAAGCGTGTGAAATCTACATGGAGCTTCGCACAAGTGCGTGTGGCTTTGTGGTGCAAAGATCCTGGCTGCTTGCAGTGTCAGAAGCCCCCAGAGTGTGAAACAGAGTCCAGGACCCGCAACGAAGGATGAATTGATTCCTTGTGAGGCTGCAGGGTTTGGAAAGGAGACCAAGACAGGCAGGTAGGATGTCATCAACTCCAGAAAGGCAGCAATGGCGGTGCTAGCCTCTCGACTCACTACCTCTAAGGAAGCAGAGTGCCCCCCTTCCCCTGCTCTGGCCAGGTCCATGCCAGGTGCAAAGAGCCAGACTCCCACCTGCCCACATCCTGACGTCCCTCCATCCCTGCTGAGAGAAGTGAGATCGGGTACCAGCACTCCCAAAAAGAACCCCCCCCTTTTCAGATGGAGGTCGGCATAATTCTGGGGGGTGCATCACTAGAGGGATGACCAGCTAATTCCGCAGTGTAAGGCTTTAGTAAGGCCCCATTTGGAGTACAGGTAGTCTTCGACTTACGACAGATCATTTAGTGACGGTTCAAAGTTACAACAGCCCTGAAAAAAAGCGATCAATGCCCGTTTTTCATACTTACGACCATTGCAGCATCCCCACAGTCACATGATCCAAATTTGGACACTTGGCAACTGGTTCATATTTATGTTGCCGTGTCCCAGGAGGGGGGTCACGTGATCCCCCTTTGACGACCGTCTGATGAGCAAAGTCAATGGGGAAGCCGGATTCACTTAGCGACCGTGGGACTAACTTAATGATTGCCGTGATCCACTTAACAACAGTGGCAAGAAAGGTCGCAGAATGGAGCGAAATTCACTTAACAACTGTCTCACTTAGCAACAGACATTTTGGGCTCAATTGTTGTCATTAAATCGAGGACTATCTGTAGTGTATCCAGTTCTGGAGACCTCGCTTATTTAAAAAAAAAAGCAATTGATAAGGTTGAGCGAGTCCAGAGACGGGCCACAAAAAACGGTCCAAGGTCTGAGGACAAAACCTATCAGGAGGGATTGGAGCAGATGGCTGGCATAGCTGGCTGGAGAATTCTGGGAGTTGAAGTCCACAAATCTTAAAGCTGCCAAGTTTGGGGACCCTTGGATTGGAGGAACTGGATATGCACGGCCTGGAGGGCAGAAGGGAAAAGGGAGGGGAGGGAGAGCTTTAAATATGTTAGGGGTGTCAATTTGGGTCTAGACTAAGCTGGGGAATTCTGGGAGTTGAAGTCTACCAGGCTTAAAGTTGCCAAGGTTGGAGACCCCTGGTCTAGAAGACAGTATTTTCAATATTAAGTAAAAATCAAGAACACGGGGGCATAATCTCAAACGGACAGGAGGGAAGTTCAAAAGTCACATTAGAAAGGATGATTTCACAGAGAGCTTGGAACCAACAAAGTGGGTCGGTTATCAGTCACTGAGTTTAAACACCCTGGGGGATAAACACAGGACCATCATTCGACAAAAATTATAAATAAAACAAAGCAATTCAATATAATAATGACAACAATATTAATTAAATAATCAAACATCCACCACCTATCCCAGATTCTTGGGAAGGACTTGATGAGCGAAAAAAAATGCCAAATCCAGTCTGAACCTCTGGCTGACTGTGCGACGAATCAATTGAAAAATAAATACATAAAAACATTAATAATTAAAAATACACAAGCAAACAAATAAAAAAAAAGAATACAAAAAAGAAACAAAAAAACCCTCCAAGGGCAGACTTTATGGATGGCTGGGTCTTTTCCTGCTGCCAGTTTTCTATGCTTCTAGCTTTATGCCCTCGGTGCCAGCTTGGCATGTGAAGAGGCCCCAGTCCTTGGAAGGAATCCATCCAAGAGAGACACCGCTGGAAAAACTGGATTGGGGGGGGGGGCAGCACTGAGATAGAGGGGTGTGCTTAGGAGCAGCTATTCCCTGTCTCTTCCCACCACAGCCCCTCAAACCCACCATCTGCTCTACTTTGTATGCACATTTCACGCCCGCAATGAAATCCCACTCACGTTGGTGGTTGGCAACCAACACGGTGCATTTTTGGAAATGTTGCATTGCACACACACAGACAGAGCACTAAACTGCAATTGTCTGGGTCGCACCTATCACGCTACTCCACAGCCTTACCACTTTTTACCGGGCAGGCTGGGCGAACGCGGCCTCAGGTATTTGGGGAGGGGGCTGCGACACACAGAGGAAGCATCAGCTGGCTTTTCTATAGCTGAGAAATATGCTAGGCCAACTTTAGGAACTCTGCCAGGGAATTTCAACAACCTTCCCCTGCTTTCCTGGTGGGGAGGGGGTGTTAATTTTTTTTAATTCCTTTATATTGGTTTTTATTGTTTGCAAGTCACTGAGAGTGAGTAAGCGGCCACATAAACCTTTTAAATAAATAAATACAGGTAGTCCTCGAATTACAACCTCAATTGAGCCCCAAATTCCTGCTGCTAAGTGAAACATTTGTTAAGTGAGTTTTGCCCCATTTTACCACCCTTTTGGTCACCGTTGTTAAGTGAATCACTGCAGTTGTTAGGTGAGTAACACCGTTGTAAAATGAATCTGACTTCCCCATTGATTAGCTTATCAGAAGGTCGCAGAAAGGGATCACGTGACCTTGGGACGCTGTGACTGTCATAAATACGAGTCCATTGCCAAGTGTCTGAATTTTGATCCCATGGCCGTGGGGATGCTGGAACGGTCGTTAAGTGTGAAAAACGGTCCTGAGTCGCTTTTTTCAGTGCCGTTGTAACTTTGAAAGGTCACTAAATGAACTGTTGTAAGTCGAGGACTACCTGTCACTGCCAGGATGATAAAAAAAATATGTTTCTCCACACTTCCTTTATTTGATAGGTTCGATCCTTAAGCCCCTTTTCAGTTTTTCAGCAGCTTAGAAGGGTTGAAATGCCGAAATGCCAAATGGAATTAAAACCACCTTTTAAGGTCCAGCAAAGACGAAGGAGGCGGGAATTCTTCCAACCCCCTTTAGGGACTGACAGCCATCAATCAATCACACAGGGGGTCACGGTATCCTGCTGTGTTACTATAGAGGGGCTTCTTCCAACAAGAGGAGTGGGTGGGTGGGCTGCAGCTATGCAACCCCTCCCCATCTATTTTTGGGGATGCATTTGAATAAGGGGAGCGCTTATTCCAGTGGCCGGTGGGTTCAGTCCCCCCAATGCAGAAAAGGAGGGGAATGCTGGGGGTCCGCGGGCCTTGCACACCCACCCACCCACCCCCGCCCAAAAGCGGAATTCCTTTGCAAAGGATGCTGGCGGGTCTCCGCGGAGCTGGACCAGGCCAGGGGGGAGGGGCGGTTCCCCCCCCAAAGGCCCTTCGAGCTACGGGGCGGGTGGGAAACGCCCCCCCCCAAAGGGGGCAAGGATGCTCCAGCCCCGCGCTCGGCCCCAGGAGCCTTCCAAGGGGGCGAAGAGGGTCTAAGGCGCGAGTGGGTCGGGGGCTCCGAGAGGGGGGGCTGCATCTGTCCCCGCAGCCCCCTCCCCATCCCTCCCTCCCAGCCGCGGCGCATCTTACCGGGGCGGTCGGGGCGAGGGGCAGCGCCCCGGGGAGCCTCCGCAGCCGCCTTCCCCGCCGCCCCCGGGCCGCCCCCGCTTGGCCCGCATCGCCCTTCTTGAAGAGCGCGTAGAAGACCAGCACCAGCAGCGAGTAGAAGGCGTACATGGGCCAAGCCGCCCGCCCGTGACGCAGCGGCAGCTCCCGCGGGCGGCAGGCGAAGCGGCGGCGGCGGCGGTGCCCGGGCTGAGCGAGCGAGCGAGCGGGGATGCGCAGCCGGGATGCCGGGCAGGCGGAGGCGCTCCGGGCAGGTGGGCACGCCGAGCCCCGCCCAGCCCCGTCTCTCTGTGCCTGCGTGTCTATTTGTGTGTGTGTGTCTGTGTCTGTGCCTGTATTACTTGTGTCTTGTGTCTCTGGGTCCCTGCGCGTGGGGGAGTGTGAGACTGCGGTTGTGTCTGTGGGTCCTTCTGTCTGTCTCTGGGTTTGTGTGTCTCTCTCTTTCTGGGTCTATGTCTTTCTGTGTCTGTGTGGTGTGGGTGTGGGGTTTGTGTGTGTCTGCCTCCTGTGTGTGTGTTTTTCTATCTGTGTGTCTCTTATCTTTGTGTGTCTATGTCTTTTTGTGTCTGTGTGGTGTGGGTGTGGGGTTTGTGTGTGTCTGCCTCCTGTGTGTGTTTTTTTCTATCTGTGTGTCTCTTATTTTTGTGTGTCTATGTCTTTCTGTGTCTGTGTGGTGTGGGTGTGGGGTTTGTGTGTGTTTCTATCTGTGTGTCTCTATCTTTGTGTGTCTGCCTAGATCAGTGTTTCTCAACCTTGGTACCTTGAAGATGGGTGGACTTCAACTCCCAGAATCCCCCAGCCAGCAGCTGGGATTGTATATCAATCTATCAATCTATATCTATCATCTCTATCATTCATCTCTCTCTCTCTCTCTCCATCTATCTATCATCTATCTATCTATATCATCAATCAATCTATATCTACCGTAGCTACTTACCTACCTACCTATATCTCCATCAATCAATCTATATCAGTGTTTCTCAACCTTGGTAGCTTGAAGATGGGGGGACTTCAACTCCCAGAATCCCCCAGCCAGCAGCTGGGATTCTGTATCAATCTATCAATCTATATCTATCATCTCTATCATTCATCTCTCTCTCTCTCCATCTATCTCCATCTATCTATCTATATCATCGATCAATCTATATCTACCGTAGCTACTTACCTACCTACCTATATCTCCATCAATCAATCTATATTAGTGTTTCTCAACCTTGCTGGCTGGGGGATTCTGGGAGTTGAAGTCCACCCATCTTCAAGCTTCCAAGGTTGAGAAACATTGGTCTATATCTTTCTGTCTGTGGCTCTGTCTGTGTTTTTTTTTTTTTTAAATGAAATTTTATTGAATTAAGAACATATTACAATTCAAACTATACGGTTCGGCAACGTGTAGTCATATTGTATATTTACAAGTGCGGTATCTAATCAATTATCTAATTATTTATACAGTTTGTACAAAAGTTCTTGTGTGTAAAATTGATTACTGTTTAATTAGAGTACAATAATATATAGGGTTAACTAATCGTTGTGCATTATTCCTCATGAGTATTAACTTTTGCATTTAATTTCTAACCACCTATACCACAGATCCCAGATCGCATAGAATTCTGAATCCTCCTTTCCGTTTAACACATACGTTAATCTGCACATTTCTGCGCAGTCAAGTATCTTATTGACTATCTGTTCCTCGGTTGGTCCTTTTTTCTCTTTCCAATATCTGGCATAGGAGAGTCTAGCAACTGTGACAATATGAATAATCAAATATTTCTTGTCCTTTCCAAATGTTCGTTTTAGCACTCCCAGGAGATAGATTTCCAGGAGGAAGTTAATATTCTCCTTTAATATTTCTTGGATCCATTTTTGTATTTTTTTCCAAAACTTCCTCGCTTCCGGACACGTCCACCACATGTGATAGAAGGTACCTTGGTGGTGACCACATTTCCAACACTTGGGGTTTGCATTTGGGTAAATCTTAGCAATTCTAGATGGTGCTAAGTACCATCTATATAGCATCTTATACTGATTCTTGTTGCTCTCGTCAGTTTAAGATTGCTATTCCATATTTCTTCCCAATCATCAAGATTTATCTTTGATTCGATGTTTTTCCCCCAAGCGATCATTTGATCTTTTAATATTTCTCCTTCTCTGTCGTATTCAAGGAGGTAGGAGTATACTTTGGCTAATAATTTTTTTTTTTTTTAAATTTGTTTTATATGCCGCCCTTCTCCGGAGACTCAGGGCGGCTTACAGTCCGTTAAACAATAGCCTTCATACTTTTGTATATTTTATACAAAGTCAGCTTATTGCCCCCACAGTCTGGGTCCTCGTTTTACCTACCTTAGAAAGGATGGAAGGCTGAGTCAACCTTGAGTCTTGGAGAGATTCGAACCAGCAGTAAATTGCAGGCAGCTGTGTTAATAACAGGGTGCTTTAAACCACTGTAGTACCAAGGCTCAGTTCTCACTACCTAGCCATACCTTATCCAAACTATTTGTCCCCTTCTCTATTCCCTTTTCTTGTTTATCTTTACTATAACGGGATTTAATTTGTAAACAGGGCCACCAATCTATATGGATCCCTTGCTCTTTTAACATCTCATTGGGTATAAGGTTACCATATCTTGGTAGGTGACCATTTTCTCCCTGCCTAACGTATTTGGATGGATCAGTGCCTCCATTATGGATATCCATTTTGGGTATTTTAAATAATGTTTATGCCTGATTTCTTTCCATGTCTTCATTAATGTATCTCTAATTTTATGTTGGTGGAAGCGTATCCCTGTCCCTTTTCCTTTGTCCCAGAGGTAGGCATGCCAGCCTCTCAATAGGTCGTGCCCTTCCAGTTGTAAAATTCTCTTATCTCTTAATAAGGCCCACTCACGTAGCCATACTAAATTGGCCGCTCTATGATATAATTCCCAGACTGGGAGACCGAATCCGCCCCTATTCCTTTTTTCCTGCAAGGACCGTAGTGCAATTCTCGGTTTTTTCCCTCCCCAGATAAACTTCCTTACTATCCCATTTAAGTCCGAAAAATATTTTCTGTCAATACTAACAGGAGTGGTTTGGAATAAGTATAGTAATTACTGTCTGTGTTTTTCTATCTGTCTCTGTGTGTGTGTGTGTGTGTGTGTGTGCATCTGTCTTGTGTATGTGTGGCGTGTGCTTTTCCAGGACTGGTTTTGCCCCTGGGCAGCAGCAGCAGCAGTAGCTGAAAAGTCCAATACATGGATTGAAAAGCAATTAAAACCCACAACCTCTCTTAACAACCAGCTAAATCCCGACACCCTCCCTGCACGCAATGCTCATCGGCCTCTAGGCAGAAGGACGGAGGCCTTGCAGGGCCCATGGGACACACACACACACACACACACACACACACACACACACACACACACACACACACACACTAGCTTGGAAAGACAAAACAGGAAGGGAAAAATAGGCAACTCTGGAAAGTAGCATCCCTCTTGGAGTTTTCTTCCCTGGCCAAAGGCTCTAGACCAGTGATCTAACCTTTTTGCCGTCGCATTCCAAAAGCAGAGGGAGCGTGGGAGGGGTGGGGGGGTTGTGTGCATGTGTGCCCATACCCATAATTCAATGCCTCCCCCGGGTGCATGTGTGCACGATCCCCCCCACAAGCCCCCCCCCCGCTTTTGGCATGCAATAACACAGTGGGCCCAGTAAGTCTGTTTTTCGCCCTCCCCAGGCTCCAGGGGCTTTCTTGGAGCCTGGGGAGGGCAAAAAACGGCCTCCCCCTACCCCCGGAGGCCCTTTAGAGCCCGGAAACGGCCCGTTTGCTGACTTCCAGTGGGCCCGGAAGTCCCAAAAATAAAATACGTGCGCCAGACCTGAGCTATGGCAACGCTCATGTGCCCACCGATATGGCTCCACATGCCACCTGATAGGTTTGCCATCACGGCCCTAGACCCTGGACAGACAGACAGACAGACAGACAGACAGACAGATGCAGACATGCCAAAAGATCCACTGAGCAGAGTCTGCAGTGACCGGGTCACAAGGACTCCCAGGAAGGGAATAAAAAATGTGAAAATATGGAGAGGATCTTTAGGCGTCCTCAGAAAACACAGCCAAGCAATTCCTTTCCAACTGAGGCCCAGCCAGCATCTCAGGGGGATGCCAAGATCTACTTATACCTACCTACCTATCTCCATCCAATGTCAGTCTCTCTCTGTATGTCAATCTATTTATCTCCATCCATCTAATCTGTCAATCTATCCTCTCTCAATCATCTGTTGATGTTATTTATTTATTTATTTATTTATTCAATTTATATACCGCCCTTCTCCTATTGGACTCAGGGCAGTGCACAGCCAAGGATAAAAAACATACCAATACAAAATTTAAAATCAATTAAAAGAATTATACAGCTTTGGCCCACAATTTAAAACAATCCAATTAAAACCCAATATTACACTTAAAAAGCTAAAAAGCTAAAATACGTCTGTTGATGTATCATATCAATCTATCATTTGTGTCTGTCTATCAATTTATCGTTAATCTGTCAATCAATAATTGGTTAAACTATCATCTGTGAATCTATCTATCCTATGTCAATCTATCTATCTATCTAACCATCTATATCTATCGCTGTCAAACTATCATCTGCCAATCTTTCCTTCCTTCCTTTCCTCCCTCCCTCCCTTCCTTCCGTGGGGTGCCCAACTCATCTAGAGGCAAGACAAAATTAATTTTTAAAACTAAAGTTTATTAAAATTTTTACAGAGAACGTAAAAACAAACACCAAGTAATACGGATTGGAAAGAAAGAAAGAAAAAAATCCCAAAGTGCTAAGAGAAAGAATAATAATAATAAAAAAAAAATACAAAGACGCTTCCAATTTCTTTTGTGGCAAATATAAGTACAATTACAAAAAATTGTTACCCTATGATTATAAAAAAGCTCACTTTTTTCTTTTATCTATTATTTTTTTTCTAATAATCAAAGCCACAAGTTGTAAGTGCATTTTTTTCCGCTCTCATGCAAAATGTCTGTAAGGGATTTCCAGTTTCCAGATTCACTTAACAACTGTCGCAACAAAGGTCATTAAATGGGGCAAAACTCACTTAACAATAGAAAATTTGAGTGGAGGATTGCCTCTATCTTTATACATTCAAGACAATTCCTCTGGAAACAAATATCAACAATACATCATTTTATAAAAAATTCTCTTTAAGGTTAGAATACAATGTACATTTTAATCCTTTCAACTACATATTTTCCCATTGTTCCCTTTGTATATTGCAGCCAAGTTTTTAGTGCATTTTATCATGCATTCTTTCACATGTTGTTCTCCTGTTTCAAGTTTCAATAAAAGTTTATACATTTTAAAAATAACATACTCATCCTTAGTACATAATTTTGTTTCAAACTTACATTGTTCAAAACCGTAACATATTTTAGCCACCGTAAGTTTTACATAAAAAAAAACTTATTGACAAAGATATCCGTCTATTGTTAAATCTTCTCTACATTTTATTTTACAATCCACTTGAGAAAATTCAAGTACATCAGGATAAATTAGTCAATTTATGATTACTTATCATTTCTCTCATCCATAAAATACTTCTCGAATTGAAAGGCACAAAAAGTGTTTTGGGGCAGAATTTCTGTTTCTATTTATTCTACACTCTAGAATAGCCCACCTGACATAACCATTTTTAAAATCTATATTAGCTTTGTCATACCAGGAGTTACAAAGAAGACCCCCCCCAAATCTCCAATCATGACCTTCTAAATCCAGTAACCTATTTCGTAATACAGGGACAAAAAAAGTACATTTGATTTGATATTTCGATATAACTCAAACTGATATAACCGATATAAATAACCTTGTCATCTATTTAGTAATTTTCTCTTCCTGTTAAAAAACTGACAATTCAGGAGGAACTTTTAGGAGCGCACAGCCAGCCTTCTTGGTTTCATAATACATCAAATATTGTTGGGACAAAGAAACGTGCAATAACGGATGGTCCCAATTTTTAAAATAGGAAATCCAATTGTTGGTCTGGTTTGTCACCAAATGTTTGCCAAAATACCCTGGAAGAGACTTCCTACATTAAATCAGGAGTGTCCATCATTTTGACTTTTTTTACTCTTCAGCCTGCTGCCTTTGAGATTAATTCTAGTAGGAAAAAGAAATTGTGACGATTTCTAAAAGGAGGGGAGCCCTCTTTTCCAACAGGATAAAATAACAGGTATGGTCCTTGCAGTAAAAGCAACAGGGTCTCACAAGCTTCTTCAAATGAATCCATTTATTATGCATCACCTTAATGGGGCCAGAGATCACCAAACCCCCAGAGCTTTAGCCAAAGGTAGATTATGCAGAAACCGGCCTGTCATTTAAATAGGTGAGGAGAAAGAGAACAATGTAAAGATATCCTCCTGACCCTTTTTACTCTCTCCCCAAAACAAAGGGGGGAAAACATAGAAATTTTCCATCTGCCTGATCCAGGTGACTGGAAGGCAATGAAAAGGCATAATATGAAACATGGTTGCGGTATTGAAATGTGGCTATTCTCTCCCCTCTAGCCCTGATTTCGTTACCTAGTTAGGTAATGAAAGGTCTGCAGGAAAACTATCAAACCTGGACAGCCCCCTTCCTCTTCCTTCTCTACACAATTCCCCCTCCCTTCCAGTGCTGATGATGTTACCTAGTTGGGTCATGAAACAACTGCAAGCAAAGCACCAAGCTCAGAGAGCAGCAAGGACCCCACAGTTCAACCCTGAGCTACAAATATCTGCTTTTTTATCAGGTACCAGATAAAGAATCCAACAGGAAACAAAACCCTAATCTATGAACTACCGAGGAGAAAGCTACAGCCCCATCAACACCGTCCAGGAAAGCTACTGTATATAAAGGGAGCAACCTAACCTCCTTCCTTCTAGCACTGATGAGGTTCCCTAGTTGGGTTATGAAACGTCTGCAAAAAAATCCACCAAGCTCAAGAGAGCAACAAGGACCCCACGGTCCAACCCTAACCCTAACCCTTAATCTGTAAGGTGGCATCAACCTTTTGGCCGATTTTGCTCAGCTGAAAGGCGCCGAATCTGATCGATGCGATGCTCGTATCGACAGTTGTGTGTTTGTGTTGAAGGACAGCAGAGGCTTTTCCTGGAACCTGACGAGGCCTCCAGTGCAAGGCAAAGGGAACGGATGGCGTTACCTAGTTCGGTAATGAAACATCTAACAGGAAAACTACCAAGCTCGGAGAGCACCAAGGGCCCCGCTCCTTCAAATCCCTGGGGCTGTTTCAGACAACTTTTGCTTCTTCCTGGCAGGTGGACGGGTGGGCGCCTGCATAGAAGAGAGAAGAGGGTGGGGGGGCGTTAGTGAAACAGGCAAGCAACCTGCTTGTATAGGATGTAAGTTAGGGGAGAAAAGGAACGCAGCCCTTCTGCAGATCCTGAATCCGGGTCTCCACGTTATCGGCCTCCGAGCACCCCCAGGGCAGGGCAGGTCCAGTGGCTGCATTCCAACAGGATGCGACGCTTGGAGGGTTTACACTGAATGGCAGAGCTGGTGGGTAGACCTGGCAGCCCCTTTGCCCACGTACCCTGCAAAGGCAGCTGGTACATTTCAAGCTTTTGCTTCCCTCTCTGGCATTCACCAGCTCTCTAGCTAGTTCCCATTGCTGCAGGGCATCAATCAACGCTCTTTCTTTCTTTTCCCTCCCTCCCTTTCTCCTATCTCTTTCCCTCCCTCCATCCTCTCCTTTCTCTTTCCACCCACTCACCTACCTACCTATCCATCATTATCTCTATATCTTTCTCTTTCAATCTTTCCCTCCCTCCCCTTCTCCTATCTCTCTTCTTCCCTCCATCCTCTCTTCTTTCTATTTATTTATTTATTTATTTATTTGTTTGTTTGTTTATTTGTTTGTTTGTTTGTTCCTATTTCTATACTGCCCTTCTCCAAATAGGACTCAGGGTGGTGAACAGCCAAAGTAAAAAACAGTACATACAAAATTTAAAAGCAGTTTAAAATAATTAAATATTTTGGCCGTAAATTAAAACAACCCAATTTAAAATCAGCCATCTAGCCATCCATCCATCCATCCATCAATCCTTTCTCTTCTATTCATCCATCCATCCATCTTCTATCTCTTTCACATCCATTTCTTTCTCTCTCTCCACCCATCTATCTCTTTCTCTCTCATCCATTTCTCCGTCTCCCTCTCATATACACACACATAATTTTGGGAACCGCCAAGGCCCCCAGGCGGAGGTCATGGGGCACAAAAAATTCTGTAGAGAACAGATACCGCCCTCCCATCTGCCTTCCTCCTGATAACAGAGGTCGATGGATCGAAACCATCCTCTGCTATCAGGTGTCAGGGTGGCAATTAATCCCATTCTGCTTTTGGGTAATTGCACCTTGATTAGAGAATGGATCGTGACCTTTCCTTGAAGTATACTTTAAGAAAATAAAACCGAGATATATTCTAATAAACACATTTTATTATAAAGAAGTAAAAACATCTTACTAGCTAATTAATTACATCTTGGCAGCGTTCCTGCCGGACCTCTCTTGGCTGGAGAACAAAGAAAGTTTTAGAGAAGAAGGAAAGGAATGTAGACATGCGCAGTAGTTACTGATAAGGAATTGGCAAGCTACGGTAAGTCTGAAACTCCAAAAATAAAGAGCTCAGCTAGTAAATACAAAAACGCAGTGACAAGCTCTGCCTTCTACCTTCCAGCTTCTCTCTTTCTCTCTCTCTCTTTGGGGGTGAGGAGAACACTGTCCCTCTTCTTCTTCCTCACCTTGTTTGGACGTTTCTGGACCGGGAAGAAATCCTTCATGGTCTTGGCTGCCTTCCTTGGTCTTCCCTTGGCCTTGGATTCCCGGGCCTCACTGAGCTTCTGGCGGGTGTCTCGCCACCTCTTCAGGCGACCCCGAACTCGGCTCTCTCTGCGGAAGAAGGGCTGGGGTGAAGATGGCAAAAAGTGGGGGGGGGGGGGGGGGGGGGGGGGGGGGGGGGGGTTTCACCCCCACTCATCTCGCAAGACCCATCTCCAGCAGGCAGCCCTGACTAGGCCTGGGGTGGACGGACACTGAGGGAACCCTAAGCCGAGAAGAACAGCTGGGAGATTTCAACCCTGTCTAGACAGAGATTTCCGGTCAGGATTCAAAACCTTCAGTGAAGGTTTTGCAATAAGATGGGGGACCTGGCGGTGATTTTCGGCTGGCCGAGCATCTCCAGAGAAAGGGGTCCACGTGATATTGGGCAGAGGGTTCCCTGGCCTTCCCAGAGGAGAGTCTGGCGTCCGGCTTTCTCATTCAGAGCAACTGGTAGGAGGAGGTGCATTTTCCCCAAATTTCCCCCCAGCCTCTTTTCTTGCCCCCACAGCTTCCTGCAACCTTCTCTCCATCTCCCAAGGCACCCCTGACCCTTCAGCCAGGCCGCCTCCTCTTCTCTAAACCTGGGCCCTCCATTTGACTACAACCCCCATCGTACCAATAAAGGAGAATGCTCGCAGCCCAAGGTTAAAATGAGTCTCCTTGGTGCTCGTGGAGATTGGTGGTTTTCTTGCAGATGTTTCATGACCCAGCTAGGTAATATCAGAAGATGCAAACCTCACTTCCTTCCAGTACCAGATTGATTATTTATTTTATTTTATTTTATTTTATTTTATTTTATTTTATTTTATTATTTTATTATTTTATTATTTTATTATTTTATTATTTTATTATTTTATTTATTTATTTATTTATTTATTTATTTATTTATTTGTCAGTCATATTTCTATGCTGCCCACTCTCCGAGGACTCTGGGCGGCTTACACCAAAGACAGTATACTAAATACAGGAGAAGGGCGGTATACAAATTGAATAAAATAAATAAATAAAATAATAAATAGCATATTACCCCCAACAATCTGGGTCCTCATTTTACCCACCTCGGAAGGATGGAAGGCTGAGTCAACCTTGAGCCGGTGAGATCTGATCCGCTGATCTGCTGAACTGGCAGTCAGCTGAAGTAGCTGCAGTACTGCATTCTAACCACTGCGCCACCTCGGCTCATATTATGTTACCTAGTTAGGTCATGAAAGTACTAAGCTCGGGGAGCACCAAGGACCGTTCAGTTCCCCTCCTGCTGGGGTGGGAGGGAGCCCAGCATCCAGAGAGTTTTCCTAACCGCCTACTTGCTCAAATTTCCAACCCCAGAGGACTCCTCCCCAGAGCCACAAAGCAGATGCTGACATGTTAAGACCCAGGCCGCGCCCTCTTGGGGGGGTCAAGGGGGCCAGTCGCGTTCCACTCACTTCATGTGCTTCTTGTGCGCAAGGAAGTTCACCAAGCCCTCCTCGTCCGGCTCCTTCCACTCCAGCACCAACTGGGTCGGATCTGTCACCTCCGGCTGCAGAAAAAGCCGCCGCGTCTCCTCCAGGCACCAGCCGTCCGGCACAGGATGGCTCTGCAAGGAGAGAAGTCCTGAGCATCAACAGCATCTCTGCCCCGCTGCTAAATGGCCCGGACCCCATGACATCGGAGGGTGCGCCATGGAGGCCTTGCCGGGTAGGACAGATTCCTTGCAGGGCCTTTTCCAGGCCGGCCCCACGTCAGGACCCTTCACCGGGGAAAGTTCCAATACAGGTAGTCCTCGACTTACAACCGTTTGTTAAGTGACCATTCGAAGTTACAATGACACTGAAGAAAGTGACTTAGGACCGTTTTTCACCCTTATGACCGTTGCAGCCTCCTCATGGTCATGTGATCTAAATTCAGGTGCTTGGCAACTGGCATGTACTTACGACAGTTGCAGTGTCCCGGGGGCCACGTGTTGGAGGATCTCCAGGGACCCAGAAAATATTCCTTTGCTTCTTTAGTCTCGACTCCAAAGAGGGCCAAACCCTGATGCACTTGGCTGCTGCCTGCACCTCGGCCTTGGGATGGACGAGTTCATGGCACCTGGTGCTCCCTAAGCTTGGTGGTTTTCATGCAGATGTTGCATTACCCAACTAGGTAAAGTTATCAGGGCTAGAAAGGGGTTTGGAGAGGAGGAGGAGGAGGAGGAGGAGGAAGACTGTGGGGTCCTTGGTGCTCTCTGAGCTTGGTTGTTTTCTTCCAGATGTTTCAGTACCCAAACTAGGTAACATCACCAGCTAGCACTGAAGATGCCACCTAGTTGGGATAATGAAATGTCTGCAAGAAAACCATCAGCCTCAGAGAGCACCAAGGACCAAGAGGAGCAAGGACAAACAAGAGGTTCTCCAAAGCACCAGAAAGCAGGACAAAAAAAAAAAAAACGATGGATGGAAACTAACCAAAGAGAGAAGCAACCTGGAATTAAGGAGAAACTTCCAAACAGTGGGGACAATTAAGCAACATTCTGGTGGGAACAGCTCGCCACCAGAAGTTGTGGGGGCTCCATCACGGGGGCTTTAAGAAGAGACTCCTGCCTGGGGAGGGGGCTGGATTAGAAGACCTCCAAGCTCCCTTCCAGCTCTATTCTGATTCTGACCCCTCATTTCAACCCTGAAGCTACAAATATTCTCCTTTACTTTGTTCGTGGCCATCTGCAGAGTGACCACACCGGGGTTTGTGGCGAATTCGGATGAGCAGCTGTAAGGCCTGACTGGGCGTGAGAGGCGTTTGCAGGAGGAGGAGGGGGTGCAACGGAGAAAATAAACCAAAGGAAGGATAAAAATAAACCCTCCATGCACCCCCTCTCCCCTTCCCCTTCCCCTAGACCTCCCTCTTTCCCCTAATCCCATCAGAGCTTGGCATTCAGACCGATCAGCCATCGACGGGCATCCAGAGATAATAAAACCATATTTACAAGCCATTCAAGTGGCTATAAAAACATAAAAGGAGGAAGCAAAATAAATGGGATTAGCACTGATGATGTTACCTTGTCAGGTAATGCAAGGAAATTACCAAACTCGGAGAGCCCCCAAGGACCCCGCCTTTTTTTCCTGGACCCCCCCGACCATGCGCTTCCCCCTCCCAGCGAGCTTTGTGGCTTTTCTCAAGGGTCAGGAACACTTTTATTTACAACTATGAGGATCTGCTTAGCCCCTCTAAACTGAAACGCAAAAAAGACTCTTTGGGGTTTTTTCCGCTCTTCGGTGCCCACGTTCCCCCAAATCTTGGGAGCAGCGTTGTTCAGGAGTCTTGTAAAGTAGGGACCCTGCTACCAGCACTTTCGGATCTTTCTCCTCTGAGTCTACGCCATCCTTTCAAGACCACCCTTGGCCAGGGGTTTAGGAGAGGGGGGAGGCCAGTGGGGATGCTCGTACTGAGCTGTAGGGCAGCCTTAACATTTCCCCCTAAGGAGAAATTTCCTTGACAGTGAGGACAATTAACCAGTGGAACTGCTTGCCTCCAGAAGTTGTGGGTGCTCCATCATTGGAGATTTTTAAGAAGAGACTGGACAGCCACTTGTCTAAATTGGTGTAGGGTCTCCTGCCTGAGCAGGGGGTTGGACTAGAAGACCTCCAAGGTCCCTTCCAACTCTGTTCTTCTGTTTACAAGACTTGCCAAGCCTTGGGAGGGTGCTCCCTTTCACAAGTTACGTGATGTCCAACCTAACAGCTTACTCCAGGCTAGCAAATACCAGTAAATTTATCTAGTCTAGCCAGAAATGAGTGCCTTTAAAGCAGTCATGATGCCTGGATATCGAACAAAAAAGTGCCTAGATTTTTTGGGGGGAGGTGGGGGCATGTTTCCACATGTGGTTGGTCCTTGCCTCCTTCTTCCTAGGGCTAAGAGAAAGGGACTGTGCCAAGTCACCCAGCTGGCTTCAGGCCTAAGGCAGGACTAGAACTCACGGTCTCCTAGAGACTGGCCCGGTGCCTTTACCTACTGACACCAGGCTGGTTCTCTCTCTGGAAATGGTCCTTTTGCAATAGCCTTCCGTTTATCCAAAGCGTGTAAAGCAGGGCTCTCCAACCTTGGCAACTTTACGACTTGTGGACTTCAACTCCCAGAATTCCTCAGCCAGCGAAAGCAATTCTGGGAGTTGAAGTCCACAAGTCGTAAAGTTGCCAAGGTTGGAGACCCCTGGTGCAAAGCATCCGAAGCCCTTTAGAAAGTCTGCAGAGAAAGCTTCAAATGATGATGATGACGACGACGATGATGATGATGATAATAATAATAATAATAATAATAATAGATTTGGAGGTCAAATTGTACAATGAATGGTTGAGGGAGCTAGGGATATTTAGCTTAACAAAGAGAAAGTTTAGGGGTGATGTGATGGTAGTGTTTTGAGGGGCTCCAGAAGGCAGGACAAGAAACAATGAATGGAAACTAATCCAGGAGAGAAGCAACCTGAAACTAAGGAGAAATTTCTTGACAATGAGAACAATTAGCCAGTGTAACAGGTTTCCTTCAGAAGTTGTGGGTGCTTCATCACTGGAGGCTTTCAAGAAGAGACTGGACAGTAATTTTTCTGGAATGGGAGAGGGTCTCCTGCTTGAGGAGGGGGTTGGACTAGAAGACCTCTGAGGTCCCTTCCAGCTGTATGATTCTTTGATCATGATTAGAGAGACAAATGGCACGGCTGAGACTGACCAAGACCAGGCAGAACACGCAAGGCAACACATTGCCAGCTTTCCTTCCTGATCCCGCTGCTATGCTGTTAACGGGGCCTTCACAGAAACCTAAATGTCCTTGGAGATTCTCCATCATCCGGGTCATGGTTGTCCCAAAGGTGCTTTTTCCAAAAGGCAACTGGACTTTCTTGCTTTTCTTCCTTGAAAACGTTTCACTTCTCATCTAAGAAGCTTCTTCAGTTCTGACTGAATGATGGGGGCTGGTGAACGGAAGGATTCTCAGAGAGAGTACTAACAACCAGATGACTGCAAGGCAGATAAATCCTTCCGCCCACCCACGCCCCATTCAAAACTGAAGAAGCTTCCTGGATGAGAAGCGAAACGTTTTCAAGGAAGAAAAGCAAGAAAGTCCAGCTGCCTTTTGAAGAAAAAGCACCTTTGGGACCTCACAGCTGTGTTAGGAACAGCTGGCTCTACCGCCTGGCGACAGCAGCTGGCGTTGGGCCCGGGAAGAGGCTGCCTGCCTGCAGAGGGCCAAGAATGGGATGGCGGGCAGCGGCAAGACCTGCCTGTTGGATACCTTACGACTGGTATTCCGCAGCACCTCCTCGATGCTCCCGTGCAGCTGCAGCAGCTTCAGCGCCTTCTTGCGGCCCAACCCTCGGACTTTGCGGCAGTAATCACAGCCCAGCAGAATGCAGAGATCCACAAACTGGATCCAGCCAAGAGAAAGCAGAGAGAGAGAGAGACAGAAAGTGGGGCGTCACTTTACAAAAGGTAGAGGGTCACTCCACCTACCCACCCACCTAGATTTTCTGAAAATCTAGAGAGGAAAAGACACCGAGTGCAGAGGGAGCTCAACTGAAAGAATAAACTAGTAAGAAAAATGATCGGAGGGACCCAATCATTTCTCTTTCCGGTTACGTCCACCCGACTCACCAGAGTGGGGAGGCAAGGAGTGTTGTGGGTCTCCTCTCCTAAGGAGGCCCATCTGGCAGGACTCAGAAGAAGGGCCTTCTCCATGGTGGCTCCCTCCCTCTGGGACATCCTCCCCACAGAGATACACTGGGGCCCCCTCTGGCACTCTTGCACAAGGCCCCCAAAGGTCTGGTTCTGCCAACGGGGCTGGGAAACCCAGAGTGGTGGGAGGGGGCCCATCAAGTGGCTTATTTGATTGGGTGTTGTTGCCGGAGGGTGTGTGTGTGTGTGGGGGGTATTGTTCTTATTTATTGTTTTGTATATTTATTGGGTTTATCGGATGTTTATTGGGTTTTTATTCTTTGTAAACCACCCAGTCCCTACAAGTGAGTGGGTGACCACATAAATCAAAATAATTAAGTAGGTAAGTAAACAAATAAGTTGATCCACACCTACCTCCACGTGGTCATTCTCCTGATGAGCCAGACTACAACTCCCCTCATCCCCAACCAGCGTGCCACATGATCACCAGCTCTGCCTGGGCTCCAGGCCTTCAGGCTGTCTTCCCTCTCGCTCTCAAGTGTCACTGGGGCACAAGCGGAAGCAGGAAAAGGGGGCGCCTCCACTGGGGTTCCCCAGCATTCCTTCAGAAGGACTTTGGCCCAGCCCTCTCCCATTGCATAGAATCCTGAGGCTGGAAGGGACTTTGGAGGTCTTCTAGTCCAACCCCCCCCACCAAAGGCAGGACAACCTATACCCGTGATGGTGAACCTCTGGCACGCATGCCACAGTTGGCATGCAGAATCATCTGTGGACACACGAGCTGTTGCCCTAGCTCAGCTCTAGCGCGCATGTGTGCCGTCTCTCCCTCCCAAGAGTCTCCATGCAGCCTGTTTTGGATGCCAGGTAAGTACAGGGCTCACGTGGAGGCTCTGGGAGGGCATTCTGGGCCTCCAGAGGGCCTGGTGGGCGGGGAGGCTGTTTTCGCCCTTCCCAGGCTCCAAGAAAGCCTCTGGAACCTGGGGAGGGTGAAAAATGGGCCTATCAGGCCCACCAGTAACCTTTTTGCAGTTGCATGCCAAAAGCGGGGGGAATGTGGGGGGTCGCACACCCATGCGCGGGGGTGCAGGGGGCATTGAATTACGGCTGTGGGCACGCGGACGCGCAACCTGCCCTGCTCCCCCAGTTTTTGGCACGCGACGGCAAAAAGGTTAGCCATCACTGACCTATACTATCCCAGATAAATGGTTCTCTGGTCTATTTTTGAAAACCTCCACTCATGGAGCACCCACGATTCTGGGAGACAAACTAACCCAGATTAAACTGGGTTAGTTTAAACCTGAGTCTTCGGAGAGGGGCGGCATACAAATTGAATTAATAATAATAACAACAACTGCAGCCCAGTGTCTGGAGGGTGTGTGTGTGTTTCTGTCTCCTGGGAACGGCTAAGGAGCCCCACTTCTGCTCGGCTTCCAAATCCAGTCAAGGATGGAGGGCAAATGCTGAAATGCTGGAGCTCAAATCAAGGCTGGTTCCCCAAACTACCTGGCACTGCCCCATACCTGCTCCTGAGTCATTCCCAGCTTTTGCAGGACGATGGGCAAGGAGATCTCTTCCAGACGGCTGGGGGGGAAAAGAACCAAATGGAGATCAATTAATTAATCTAATTCATTAATTTAAAAAAAGCTAATTAAGACTTTTAGAAAACTATAAACAGCATTCCGTGGTCTTTGGCATATAGCTATGCCAGCACGTGATTCAGAGGTGAACGGCGCCCCCTAGAGTTGGGCTTCACTGGCAGGGGAAAAACATTACCTTTTTTAAAAAAAAATAAAGATTTAAGTGTCCAGGTAAATTGGAAACAAAATTTTGCAATTAATTATAAAGAATCTCTCCGGTAGGAAAGTCAACCTGTTTGGGTTTTTTTTTCTAAAAAAGAGATAAACAGTTTTAAAAATCTGGACACTAGGGGGAACTAAAGTTTTTAATTAAAACAGAAAAATAAGACAAACCTGATTTAACTGCTATAGGAGTGACACAAGATGTTCTAACATTGGAAGTACCAAGGGGTGCTTTTGAAAAATGGAATCGGAAGTTAATATCAACAATGTCAATAGTGATGCTTGCTTCTATGATAGATTATGTACAAATGTTGTTTCGGAAAAAATAATAGGAGAGGAACAAGTTTTATTTGACAAAACACTGCAAAATTAACATCAAAAGTAGATCTACAAATGACAGGCTACAAGAACGACATGCTTCGTTGGGCACACAAAAGAAATCAGTTGATGCTTTAAAAATCAAGAGAATTAAATAATAAACCGAAAGAGTGACCTGGACAATTCTTTTATATTGAATTTACAAAAGCAGTTCGTTAAAACTTGGATTAGTCTCGTGAGAAGAAAATTTTAAAAAATCTATATTACTTGACTGGAAGTTAAAGGAAGGAATATAAAGCTGGTTATTTGATCAAAGTTAAAATAGATATATTGTTATTTCAGGCAACCCTTAAGGGACGTTTGCTGACGACAGGACTGAAGTGATGGTGCTTTATGGATTTGTTTGTACATAAGAGATGGACATGGGATGAAAATTGGCTATAGATGTAGGTGTAAAGTTACTAAAATTGTTTGCACTTATTATCACCTCTTTATATTTATATTTCTTTTTATTTACTAAATTCTTACCTTTCTTTTTGTATCTTTCCTCTACTTCTCTTTACCTTTGAACTTTTGACTCCTCTTTTAGCTTGCATTAATTCTCAGTATTGCCATGATAATCTTTTAATAATGTTATTTTTTAAAAGATGGGGGTCACATTTTCCCAAAGGGACAAAACCAGTGGTGAAATCCAAAGTTTTTTATTACCGGTTCTGTGGGCGTGGCTTGGTGAGCGTAGTGTGGCTTGGTGGGTGTGGCAGGGGAAGGATACTGCAAAATCTCCATTCCCACCCCACTCTGGGGCCAGGTAGAGGTGGCATTTGCCGGCTTTCCGAACTGCTCAAAATTTCCGCTACCGGTTCTCCAGAACCTGTCAGGATTTCACCCCTGGGCAAAACATCTGTTAGGAGCTGTTATTTGGCTCTTGATCAACCCTAGATTTGAGGGCCTAGGCAAGGTTAGAACATGGAATCACAGGGTCGGAAGGGACCTCTGAGGTCTTCTAGTCCAACCCCTTGCTAGAGGCGGATGACATTTTTGTGTCTAGTCTGTCGCCACGGCTGAGGAATTCTGGGAGTTGAAGTCCACCAGCATCTCAACATTTAGAGACTATACTAGTTTACGGCTCTGGGGCTAAGCCCACCCCCCTAACACTCACCTCTTCGTCAGGCCAAGATGCCGCAGGAGGCGCACGGCCCCAAAGGGCAGGGCGTCCATGTCTTCCGTGGCTGCACACCAGGCGTGTCCAGATTTCACCAGGGCGGCACATGTGGCTTCGGCTTCCGCAGGAGCCTAGGTCACACACCAAGGGGAGGAAGGGAAACTTCCGGTCAGAGGGAGGTTGAAACAATGGCCTCAAATTAAGAAAGGAAGCCTATGGGGTTTCCGGTTTGAGTGCAGACGTTTCATGACCCAACTAGGTAACATCATCAGGGCTAGAAGGGGGCAGGATATGCTCTCTTTATATACAGTTGGTGGGAGTGAATCCTGCAAGCCACTTGTATATATATACCAGAGAGCAAACCACTCCTTTGCAGCCCTGATGATGTTATCTAGCTGGGTCATGAAACGCCTATTCTCTTCCCTCTCCTCTTCCTCTCCCCAAATTCCACTCCCTTCTAGCACTGATGATGTTACCTAGTTTGGGTAATGAAATGTAAATACGAGTCAGTCAGCAAGCGTCTTAATTTTGATCACGTGACCATGCTACAACGGTCATGTATGGAAAACGGTCAGAAGTCACTTTTCTTGGCGCCGCGGTAACTTCGAAAAGTCACTAAACGAACGGTTGTAAGTGGAAGACTACCTGTGACCTGCATTGCTCCCTCCCAGTCCAACTCCTTCTCCACTGGATCCCCTTTGCTATTGGGCTGGGAGGGAAGGGCTGGCCCAAAGCCCCCCAGGGGTCCTGAGAGGACCTGAAGCTGGGTGTCCCCCTCCTAGCCCGGCCCCTTCCCCACTGGGATGCTGAGATGCTTGGAGACCCTGGAAAGCAGAGACCAATGTCCTGCTTTGCAGGCAAAACAGGCAAAAAACATTTCCAGAAATGCATCAGGACAAGATTCGGCCGTCCAAGATTCGCTTAACAACTGGGTTATTAATTTAACAACGGCAGTGATTTCCTTAACGACGGTGCTAAAAAGAGTCATAAAATGGGGTGTCTTGCTTAGAAATGGAAATTTTGGGCTCTATCGCAGTCATAAGCCGAGGACTACCTGTAGCCCAACCGCAGCGCCCAAGGCAACATTTCCAGCTGGAAGGACCAAATCCCTCCTCCTCCTGCTCCCATCTTGATCTGGGGGAGCCCAAAACAGAGCCCCCCCCCCGCCCCCCAAAGCAAGGCGGTGCTCTCTTCACCATCTATAAATAAGACTGTTACCTGGATGTAAGGAACTCCCAGGAGGGTCAAGAGAGTCTCTGAGTCTCGTCTTGGGGGCCCTGCTGGAAGGAAGGAAGGAAGGAAGGAAGGAAGGAAGGAAGGAAGGAAGGAAGGAAGGAAGGAAGGAAGGAAGGAAGGAAGGAAGAGGGCAGGTGAGAGCTGGAACTCTGGAGACCCAACACGCCCCAGCAAAGAGGGAGTCTGGTCTTTACCTGCAGCCCCCCTCCTGGATCCAGAGACGGCGTCCCGTTTGGCCAGCTGCAAGGGAAAAGCAGGATCCAGTGATTTTCTAATAAAGGAGAATATTTATATTTATTTATTATATTTATTATATTCTTGAACTGGGGGATCCTTGGTGCTCTCTGAGCATTTTTTTTCTTTTCCTGCAGACGTTTTACAACCTAACTAGGGAACACCATCAGTGCTACAAGGGAGGGAGGTTTGGGGAGAGGAGAAAGGAGAAAGGAGGAGAAGGAAGCGGACTGTGGGGTCATGACCCAACTAGGGAACATCATCAGTGCTAGAAGGGAGTTGGGTTTGCAGAGAGAAGGAGGGGGGGGAGGAGGAGGATGCTTGCTGAGCTTGGCGGTTTTCTTGTAAACGTTTCATGACCCAACTAGGGAACATCATCAGTGCTAGAAGGGTTTGCAGAGAGAAGGAGGAGGGAGGTGGTGGAATCCTGAGCTGGGTTGCTTCCTTGCAAGGCATTTCATGACCCAAAGTAGGTAACCTCACCTGTGGGCGTGGCTTCCTTTGCCGGGCATTCCTGAACTCGGTCTCTAAAGTGGGGGGGGCTTCGGTGGGCTACCTGGCTTCCCCCCAAAGGCCGGGAGATCCCCCAAACAGCCGGCTCTCTTCCCACGGAGTTGATCTGGGCATCCCCTCCCCGCACCCTCCAGATTCCTACGCACCACCGGCTGCTTCAGCTGTGGGGGCTTCCCATCGAAGACGAAGAGGGGCTTGAGGCCGTTTTGCAAGAGGTGCAGCGTCCGGAAGAAGAGCCCCTGCAAGGAACTGGAAGGGGAGGGGAGGCGGTGAACAGGAAATGCAGGGAGTCCTTGGTTTACGACCCCAGCTGAGCCCAACATTTCTGAGGCTAAGTGAGACGGCTGTTTTACCACCTTTCTGGCCACAGGTGTTAAGCGAATCATTGTTTAATGTTGTTAAGTGAGTCACACAGTTGTTCTGGCTTCCCCACTGACTTTGCTTGTCAGAAGGTCACAAAAGAGGATCACCTGATCCCGGGCCACTGCAACAGTCATAAATGTGAGTCAGTTGCCTAAATTTTGATCATGTGATGATGGGGGGGAGGAATGCTGGAACGATTGTGAGAAAAACGGTCATAAGTCAGTTTTTTTCAGTGGCGTTGCGACTTTGAAGAGTCACTAAACGGACTGCTGTAAGTCAAGGACTAGCTGTACGTGTGAGCCAGGCCATGGAAGGGGCAGACAGCGCATCCCAGGCAAAACCCACCCACTCCCACCCCCACATTGTTCCCAATCCGGCCTGGCAGGAGCAGGTGAGAATCCTCCACCCCACGGAAGGTCCGGCCTCCTTCAGTGGCGACTCATTCCGCCTGCTTAGTGGGGGGGGGGGAGGAGGAGGTCCCCCCCTTTGCTCACCTGATGTTCTGCCCATGGCGGTTGATGATCTCTGGCATGGCTGTGCGGAACTGATAAATGGCCACGGAAGCGTCCAGCGCGACCACCCGCCCTGAGCCACAGAGGAGGAGGAAGGCCGGCTGAGCAGGCTGGAGGGCAAGGGATCCTTCTGCCCACCCCCCCCCTTCACCCGCTCGGCCTCCACTGGCACCCGCCCCCCCCCCTCCTCCAAACCATCCTGGTCTCTTGAGGGCACACAAAGCCCCAGAAGGACGCCAGGGTTCCCTAGGGCTCCCTTTGCACTCCGTGCATGCTCAGGGACTGAGGGCAGGTGGGCCTTTTTTGCATGCTCGGGGACCGAGCGGAGAGAGGCCACTTTTGCACTCCTTGCATGCTCAGGGGCCAACGGTGAGCGGCTCCCCTATTCACTCCGTGCATGCTCAGGGACTGGGGGGCAGGTGGGCCTTCTTTGCATGCTCAGGGACAGAGCACTTTTGCACTCTATGCATGCTCAGGCGGGGGGGGGTAACTTTTGCACTGTGCATGCTCAGGGATTGAGGGCAGACTGGTCACTTTTGCACTCTGTGCATGCTCAGGAAGCGAGGTCAGGTGGGCTTTCTTTGCATGCTCGGGGACCGAGGACGAACCGGTACTCTTTGCACTCTGTGCATGCTCAGGGACCGAGGGTGGGTGGCCACTCCCTTTGCACTCTGTGCATGCTCGGGGATTGAGGGCAGCCAGGTCACTTTTGCACTCTGTGCATGCTCAGGAGGAAGCGAGGTCAGGTGGGTTTTCTTTGCATGCTCGGGGACCGAGGACGGAACCGGTACTCTTTGCACTCTGTGCATGCTCAGGGACCGAGGGGGGCGGGGCTCACCGCGGTACTCCTGGAGGCTGGCGGGGCGCAGGGCGTCGGGGGCCTCCTCCTTGATCAGCTCGGCCAGCTTGACGATCCCCATAGCGGCGCGGGAGGCGAGGGCGCCTCTGAGCACGTGCAAAGCGCCTCGGCGGCTCCGTCCCAGGAGGAGCCGCAGGAGGTTTTGGGCCACGGGCGCTGGCTCACCTCCCCGCTCGTGGACACGGTGAGACAACCACTCCCATCATCCGCGGCCAGCCGAGGAAGAGCCGCGATCCTCTACCAAGAACACCCGGCATCGGGGCGGCCGGAGAGTTGGCAAAACTGCGCATGCGCCGATGGGTCGCTCCCACTCGCTCGCGAGGCTCTATGGTTCCGAGCTCTTGGTGCCGCTCTAGCCGAGGAGAACTCTGTGCGGGGCGCTCGGCGGACTCTTGGCTTAGCGGAGGCGAGTCGGCTGCGTAAGGACGGGGGTCGGGCGGGGGCAGCTCCTGCACGGGCGGGGGGGGGGGGGCGGGGGGGGGCTGCTTGCCCGGGGGGGGGGGGGGGCGCTCGGAGGCTCCTGGGCCCCGATCGTGCCGGGGACGCCAATTGCCTTGCAGGAAGCGGGGCCCTCGAGGAAGGGGCACCCAGAGGCCATCCATCCCGCCACCCCTCCTTAGCGCAGCCTTGCAGACAGAGGACTCCGGCTGAAGGGCATCTCTTCCACTGTCCGGCCGCGTCCCACGGAAGAAGGCTTGCCTTGCAGGAAGCGGGGCCCTCGAGGAAGGGGGTCCCCCCAGAGGCCATCCATCCCACCCCTGCTTTGCTCAGCGTTGCAGACAGAGGACTCCGGCTGAGCTGACCCAGTGAAGGGGGGGCAGGGCAGGGGTCTCTTCCACCGTCCGGAGGAAGGCTTGCCTGCAGCCCCCAGCCTTCTCCCACGCCTGCCCTCTGAGCGTGCCCTGCAAGGGCGGACTGCATGCCCCTCGCTGTCCCTGCAGCTGCGCCTCCTCCCGGCTTGGGTAGAGGGCAGCCTGGCCGAAGTGGGGCCCAAATAACCCCCCTCCGCTTTTCTCTTGCAGAGGCTCCGTCCCAATGCCCAGCTGGTCAGAGCAGGACCCGGCCACCTTCCTTGCCAACCTCCTGCTGCCTGCTGCCTGCCTGTATTCGGCCATTAGGACCTTCCAGGTAGGAAAAGGGCTGGTTGGCAGGGGAGGCAGCCGAGCCCCAGCCAGAGCTTTCACTGCCAAGACACCAGCTGGGGAGTGGAGCAGCCCCCCAGGACTGAGCCCCCTTTGCTGCCTCTCTCTTTCTGCAGATCAACCGGGGAGCTGCAGCCGGGTTTTTCCTCCAGGCCCTCGGGCCCCTTCTGGAAACCGTCCCCTTTGGGCCCCGCTGGGAAGGAGCCCAGCCCCCAGACCACACCTGGCCCTGCACAGTGGTGGGGCTGCCGCTGCTGGCCTTTGGCTTCCACTGGCTGAACGGGGACTGCTTCACGGCCAACGTCCTCCTGGGAGGCGCCCTGATGCTGGCCGGCGGCTGGGGCTACTTCACCGAAGAAGGCAAGGCCATGGTGGTCCATTCGGTCGTCTCTGTGGTCACCATCACCATCTTCATCGTCTCCGTCTTCACCGGAAGCGCCTACGGGATTGTGGGCAGCCTCCTGCTGGGGGTGGGCGGCCTGCTGCCAGGAACTGGACTGTGGCCCCTGCTGGCCCCAAAGGAGACCGATGCCCTCCGTTGTCTCATGGCAGCCGCCAACCTGGCCCTGTGCCGGGCTCTCCAAGGGCAGCATCTAGAACTGGGCAACAGCTACAGGGAGTGGTTGCCTGTAGCAGCTTCTTGATGGGGAGGCCTGGGGTCCCGGGGGGAGGGGGAATGCCAATCTAAGGGACTGCAAGAGTCCTCTTGGGTCAATAGGAAATGCAGGGCAGAATTCCAAAGATTCCAGGGCCCATTTTCAAAATTGCAAGGGATTAACAAGAGTTGGAAGGAACTTTGTAGTCTAGTCCAACCCTCTACCCAAGCAGGAGATCCTACACCAGCGGTGTCAAACTCAAGGCCCATGGGCCAAATTCAGGCTGCAGGATGCTTAAATCTGGCCCGTGGAGCCAGCCTGGAAATAGCAAAGGACTGGCCCTCAGTGCCTCTGGCAGCCAAAACAGGCACGTTTTTGGCTGGAAAATGCAGGAGGCAGCTGTCCCATTTCCCCCACCCCACCCCTCCGGGCTGATCCGCAAAGGAGAATTACAATGCTGATCCGGTCCTCAAAGAAATCCAGTTTGACACCCCCTGCTCTACACCGTTTCTGTCTTCTTGAAAGCTTCCAGTGATGAAGCTCCCACAACTTCTGAAGGCAACTTCTCTGCCATTGGTTGATTGCTCTCACTGTCAGAAAATTTCTCCTTATTTCCAGGTTGAATCTGTCCTTGGTCAGTTTCCATCCATTATTCCTTGTCTGGCCTTCAGGGGCTTTGGAGAATAGCTTGACCCCCTCCTCTCTCTGGCAGCCCCTCAAATATTGGAAGATGCTATCATGTCTCCCCTGGTCCTTCTCTTCACTAGACTAGCCATGCCCAGTTCCTGCAACCGTTCATTGTATGTTTTAGCCTCCAGTCCCCTCATCATCTTTCTTGCTCTTCTCTGCACTCTTTCTAGAGTCTCAACATCTTTTTTTATAGTGTGATGACCAAAACTGGATGCAGTACTTTAGATGTGGTCTTACTAGGGCTTTATAGAGTGGTAGTAGTACCTCACCTGATCTTGATTGTATCCCTCTTAATGCAATTTAGGATTGCATTGGCTTTTTTGGCTGCCGCTGCACATGTCTGGCTTCTATTTAGCTGGTTGCCACTAAGACTCCAAGATCCCTATCACAGTCACTGCTATTAAGTCTGGTTTCACCCAGTCTATATGTGTGCTTTTGGTTTTTCTTGCCTAAATGTAAGACTTTACTTTTCTCTACATTGAATTTCTACATTGATTCTTGTAGTCAGCCAGAGGACTCTGCTCTCCCTCCTGGCGGGGGGCACAGGGGTTGCCTGAACTGCTGCCAGGGGGCACTTCAATGGTGGCAGTCTTATATATGAACACATGCCAGGCGTAGTGACTAACATACCAGGCCTGCATTTTCTGCCCAGACCTCCAGACCAGGGGTCCCTTTGGAACGGGAAGTGAGCAGCCCAAGGTCTCTCTCTCTCTCTCTCCCCAGCTCTGCCCGCCAATGAAAAGCTGCCCGCTTGCCCCTCCAGGGTTCTTGCCAAGGGAATCCGATATACCTGGAGTTAAAGGGCAGCTTTCCTCAACTCCAAAATTAGACTGGGATGTGTTATGGCTCCAGAGCATAACAAACGATGACTAAGTACATACTATAATAGATACCCAGGTGATGTGAAGTTCTGGGGGTAGAGTCCTCTGTAATTGTCCTCTTTGCTTTCATTTGTGGCCAGAAGCAGGAAGTTGGGCTGGGTCGTGGAAGTGGTTGGCATACGTTTTTAGGTGTTTATGTCCTACCTTTACTGCTTTTATAATTAACTCAAGGAGGTTGAGCATAGCCACCACACTTCATTCCTCCTATTTTCCCCACAACAACCCTGAGAGAGAGGTGAGGACTGGCCCAAAGTCACCCAGCTGGCTTTCATGGCTAAGGTGGAACTAGAACTCACAGTCACCTAATTACGGGCCCAAAGTCACCCAGCTGGCTTTCATGGCTAAGGCCCTGTTTCTCCCAAAATAAGACCTCCCCTGATAATAAACCCAATTGGGCTTTTGAGCGCATGGCAATAAGGCCAAGCGCTTATTTCAGGGTTCAAAAAAATAGAAGACAGGGTCTTATTTTCAGGGAAACACGGTAGTGATAGGCCTAAAGTCACCCAGCCTAAAATCACCCAGCCAACCCTAGATTTCAACACATTTCTGTACCACCACAATCAAGACAGACTCCTGGTGGCTTACTTAGAACAGATACAAATTAAAACATCTGTGATAGGAATAAAGTAACCGCAAATGCAATAAACAACATACCACTAACCTCCTTTTTTTACAATCTTGTAATCCATTCAGGGTAGACTACAAATAAAAAATGAAAGCACTTTTTTTTTCTTTTAAAAAAGTCCTTTGTGCCAAATGGGAATTGAACAAGTTTTCCCTGTTCTCCATGATGTTTATAAATTTATATAGCTGCTCATCTGTTGTACATGACTGGACTACACAGTTAAAAACATTTTCAAAAGTTAAAGTTCTGGGTGCTGGAGTTCTAGGAAGACCTATCCAATTGAAACAAGGAAAGGAGGAGACCTGAACCGAGGAAAAAGGAGGAAAAGAGCTAGATAAATGAGGAAGATGAAAAGATCCGAGATGAAAAGAACATCCTGGGGAAAGCTAGCATTTATTACACAGTTTCTCAACTGTGACAACTTTGGATTTCAGCTCCCAGAATTCTCCAGCCAGGTTGGGAAATCCTAACTTATTAGAGACCAGGTATGGTGGCAAGCATTTAGCCATTCCATCGCCAGAACCAAGCTTAATAAAATTAAAGGTAAAGGTTCCCCTCACACATATGTGCTAGTCGTTCCAGACTCTAGGAGGCAGTGCTCATCTCTCTTTCAAAGCCGAAGAGCCAGCGCTGTCCAAAGACGTCTCCATGGTCACATGGCCGGCATGACTCAACGCCAAAGGCGCACGGAACGCTGTTCCCTTCCCACCAAAGGTGGTCCCTATTTTTCTATTTGCATTTTTTATGTGCTTTCGAACTGCTAGGTTGGCAGAAGCTGGGACAAGTCACAGGAGCTCACCCCGTTATGCGGCACCAGGGATTCGAACCGTTGAACTGCCAACCTTTCGATCAACAAGCTCAGCGTCTTAGCCATTGAGCCACCGCATCCCTCCAAGCCTAATAGATAGCCACAAATTATTTTAATTATTTCCCTCTCTTGTGGCTCCTTTCACAACATCCCTAATCAGGTCATTTCAGGATATTAAGCTATCTTCTGTCTTACCACAATACGCCCATCCTTAAAGTAATCTACGCCAAGAGATTGTGCAAGACCAACATCCTGTGATGTAAATTGTTTTCAAACCCTTTCTCGTCTCCGATGAAGCACGTGGTGTAAACACAGCCCATGTTTTGGTTTTTATAGGGGGCGGTTTCCTTGTTTATTTCTCTCTGTTTGTTTTTAATCAAGTCTGGCTTTGGTCTGGCCACCCCCAGGAAGACTATAAAAACAAACATAGAAATAATTTGGCCAGATCGGTCTTTCCAGAAGGATTGTTGTGGGATGTGAAAGATGATACAAGGCCAAGATTGCAAAACTCACTTCCTCCCACTGGAACTTCAGTAAAAATCTGACAAATAAATCTGACAAGTAAAAGGAGTCCTACAATGAGAATATTTTATGGGCAAAAATGGAAAGATACTACTATAATTTCCCCACAATAGAAGAATAGCTAGAAATACTGGTGAAGCTAACACAGATGGCCAAATTAGCTGCTTTAATGAAAAGAATGCATCCAATTTTATTTCTACTTGGAAACTGCTTCTAAATTTTGACCTTGAGACACAACACCCCCCCCCCCAAAAATTGGGATTTCCTGATTAGATAAGTTTATTATTACAGAAATAGTTAGTATATACTAAGTACAGGTAATCCTTGACTTGCAACCATTTATTTAGTGACTGAAGTTACAATGGCGCTGAAAAAAGTGACTTATGACCATTTTTTACACGAGGATTGCAGCATCCTCATGGTCAAGTGATCAAAATTTGGAGGCTTGGCAACTGGCATGTACTTATGACAGTTGCAGTGTCCCGGGGTCACGTGATTCCCTTCTGAGACCTTCTGACAAGCCAAGTCAACGGGGAAGCCAGATTCACATAATAACCGTGTTACTAACTCAATTCACATAACCGTGTTATTAATGCGTTAACGATTCACTTAACAACTGTAGCAAAATGATTGTAAAATGGGACAAAACAACTGTCTTGATTAGCAACGGAAATTCTGAGCTCAGTCACGGTCGTACGTTGAGAATTACCTATATGCAAAAGTAAAAAAGTTGAAGCTGTAATGTTATTACTTTAATTTTACTCTGCTGAAAAAGAGATGGAAGTTTAATGTTTTCTTTTTCTTTGATTACCCTTTATCCCACATTTTTCTCTTTCCCCTTTTCCCCTTCCCTACTACCTTTATTTCCACTTGTATTTTAAGTTGGGTAAATTTAATAAAATCATATACAGAGACGAAAGAGGCCCTACAGATCAGCAGGTAAAACCAGCTATACTACTTGAGGTTTACTCACTCTGGCACGGCCACACCTGCTCATTTGGGCCTCTCGGGGAGGCCAAAGCCTTTAGAACATCTGGCTGTTTGCCCAGTTCCACTGCAATCCGGCTGCCTTATTTTTTTTTTTCCCTAGGAAACTTGAGAAGCCCGAGAAAAATGCCAAACGCCCTGGAATAAAAGTAAACAGCTTGTTTCGGTCAGCGTCTCTTTCTTTGAAGTGGAAACTGCCCTCAAGACAGGTGTGATTGCAGACGGCCGCTGACCTCAGCAGTACCTGTTCCCTTGGCAGGGCTGCGGTTGAAGGAATATAATTCTGGGCTGCTAAGGCAGCTGCCCTGCTTGGTTCCAAAAGATTAAAGGTGGGGGCAAGAGTTTGTCTTCTTCTTGAAACTTTCAGTTATTTTAATTTTACAATTAAGGGGAGGGGGAGGGGGGATTGGTAAAGGAGAAAAGAGCTGCCCCTCCTTTCATCAAAAGAAGGGCTAAGCAGGCAAAGGGCCAGAAACTTTGGGCCAAGATCGGCTGTGCATGTCTAGCAGGAGGGAACAGCTGAAAATCGGACAGAAGGGGAGATGGTTTCTCCATGTAAGGGAGGCATTCCCCTTTTTTCCCCTTTTTAAATGGAAATTTTAAATTTGGTCTTAAATTATTGGGGTTTTAAATTTTCAGCCAAATTATTTAATTCGTTTTATTTTAAATTTTGTATTCATATGTTTTATTCTATGGCTGTTCACCGCCCTGAGTCCTTCGGGAGTAGGGCGGTATACAAATTGAAATAATAAATAAATAAATATATAAATTAGGTGGATGTGCTCCTTGGTCAAAGCCCCTGACTCAGGAATGGCTCAAGAATTCTGGGAATTCTGAAGTCCACAGATCGTGAAGTTGTCATAGTTGCCCACCCCTGATCTATGCGTAGGTAGCCCTCAACTTACGGACACAATGGAGCCCAACATTTCCACTGCTAAGCAAAACAATTGTAAAGTGAATTTAGCCCCATTGTACAACTTTTCATGCCACAGTTGTTAAGTGCCAGTCAGTAACCTGTTTAACCTGGCTTCCTCTCAGTGACTTTGCTTGCCAGGAGGTCGCAAAAGGGAATCGCGTGACCTCCCCACCCCCCCCCCCCAGGATGCTGCAACCGTCATCAGTTCATGCCAGTTGCCAAATGTGTGTATTTTGATCACGTGATCTTGGGAGGCTGCAATGGTCTCTCCAGGGTGAAAAAAACAGGTCAGTGCTGTTGTAACTTGGAATGGTCACTAAACGAAACGGTTGTAAGTCGAGGAAGACTTGCTAGCAGTCAAAGACGATTTAATGGCAACGCATAATCATTGCACACATACACCCCAATGGGAGATGATGGGGCCGCACAGGGCAGTCCACGCTCACGCCGGCTACCCCCACCGCCTCTGCTCGCTTTGGGCCCGGCAGGAGGGCGGCCACCTGGGCTACCTGGCCAGCGGGGCAGAAGGAACGAGGCGGCCTCAACCAGCCCCGGCTGAGGCGCTCTCATTAACCTCGCCCCGGCAGGAGGCCAGAGAAGCGCCTGACTCCCAGCGTGGAATCACCTGGCGGGCGCCCGGTTGGGCATCGTCCCTGCACGGCCACCTGGCCTCACCTGCGCCCCTCCGAGACGGCCACGCCCACCCTGGCCACGCCCCCCCGCCGAGGATAGGCT